TGCACACCCAGGTTTGGGGGCAAGTGCGGGAGTGAGCACAGTGGGGGTGCCCGTCGTTGGCTATCGTAGATAGTAAACGACCGTCCACAGGGGGCAGCATTTACATTAGATCCCGGAGAAATTAATAAAATGGGAATAAGGAAATCAATTATATGAAAAAAGAGAGAAGAGATAAGGAAGAGAAGGAAGGGAGAGAGAAAGGAAAGAGAAGAAAATGCAAAAAAGAGGATTGGCATCCACAGAAATGACCACTGGCTTCCTGGCAGTGAAGCCTGTGTTGTGGTCCCATTTCACAGACGGGAAAACTGAGGGCGCGCATGAGTATCCCTATGACTTAGGGCAGAGAGAGACCTGGAGTCAGCTCCCTGGCTCCCTCTCCCTACACCGTCCCGCCACGTCTGCTGAGCAGATGTGGCAAATTAGCAGGTGCCGTTGGGGTCCCTCTGGCCAGCTGTGACCTTCGTGCGGGATCCCCCCGCCTTCCCCTATGCCAGGTTTAAAATCCCGCCTCAGGTGCACGTGCCACTGCTTCCCCGCACGGGTGTAGGGTGGCCCTGGTCCGTGAGAGAGCAGAGACACTGTTGGGAGCTAGGCCTGCAAAGAAGTGATGGGCTGGAGGCTGATGGCTGGGGGGATGCGTGACCTTGGTCCTTTCCAATCCCTCCCCCAAGACTGAAGTCACTCGGTTACCGGCAAATCTTACTGGTCAGCCAGGGTACCAAATGCCAAGGTTCGCCCATTCGTCCAATGCATAGATGGCAAACACCATTTTTTTTCTCGTTGTGCCTGGCTCTGTGTGAATTAACAGGGAGGGGTGTTTTTTTGTTTTGCTTCGTTTTGTGTGTGTGTGTGTGTTTTTTTACCTTGGGGCTTGATTTTCAGCCTTGAGGGGGTCACAGCCTGCGTGATGAAGCTGGCGCACATTACGCACCATAGAAGCAGCCCCAGGAGAGCCGAACCTAGGGACCAGGCCAGCTGAGGCTTCCTGGGTGACCCAGGAGCCTGCCGGGCCAGGGCGGGGGCAGCGCTCACCTTCCCGTATCCAGCCACCATTGGCTGCGTCCGCACTGACGTAGCAGGAATGGGCGGGGCCCCGGAGTATGACGTAGAGACGAACTCCACCCACCCTGCCCTGCTTCGAGGCTGGCAAACCCGGTCAATGCCCCAGTGCCCCCTGGGACTCGTGTAGGGCGGCCCACCCACTGGAAAGGGAGGCTTCGTGAGGCAGAGAAGGAGAGGCGCCCGTTACCCTTCCCCTGGGTTTTTTCTTTATTTAGCACTAGTTCCTTCAGGAGCGTGCTGGGAAGCCCTCTCTCAAAAAGCGGGGGCAGCAAAGCCCTCGTCTTCAGTGCCTGCTGAGTTCCAGGCTATGTCTGTACTCCCACCAACTTCAAGCTACCAACATGACATCGCTGAACACGCAGTCGGGAAGGAGTCTCTCAAACGGGCGCCGGGGAGCTGGTGCAAGCCAGCCCCAGCACGCCTTTGGTTCTGGGGACCTGGGAAGGAGAGACCTTAGTGGTCACACCGCTAGGCTGCCCGTAGACTGTGTCCTTCCCCAGGTCACCTGCTGCACAGACGCACTGCAGGGATCGAAGCAGCCATGCACAGCACGAGCAAGCGATATGCATCTCTCTCTAGCTGAGAGGTACTGAGTACAAGACAAGAAAGGGTTACTTCAGACCCTGGCCAAGTGGCCCAGTTGGCTAGAGCATCATCCTGATACACCAGGGTTGCAGGTTCGATCCCCCATCAGGGCACCTACAAGAATCAACCAATGAATGCATGAATAAGTGGAATGACGAAATTGATATTTCTCTCTCTCTAAAAAAACAAAACTCTGACCTTCTGTGGCTCCAGGAGGGGAGGGGAGTGGAGCTCTGGAAGCCCCCTGAGGAAGAGCTGAAGGAACTGGGAGCATCTTCACGGGAGAGCCGATGGGGCCCCTGAAGGTCTGCCATGAGCCCCACGAATGCCACGAGCCCCACGAAAGAGCAGCGGCCATGTGCGGCGTGGTCCCCGAGGGCCGAAGTCCTGGGTGGAAATTATAATAGGGGGTGGGTCGTTTGGATTCCATCTCGGAAGGTGGTGGGCACGGTGAGAACTGCGCAGGCCCCTTGGGAAGGAAGGACCCCGTTCTCCCCGAGCGGAGGCTGAAGACCTCAGCTGCATGGACAGGATCCCTGGTGGGGAGGTCGAGACGGGAAAACCCCAGTCATCCGCTCTGAAGGAACAAACAGTCGTTGGGGCCACCGCGTGACGTGGAAAAAGCCAACAGGACGCCGAAAGGTGACAACTCAGTGACACCCGAGTGAGCACAAGGCCAGACGGCAGACCACCAAAACGCAAGTCACGGTCGCACTGGGATGGAGGGCGACGGTGACCGGTTTTCTCTACGTCCCCAATGTTCAGCGATAGCGTGGCAACACGGTTTTTGAAACCAAGGCTGTTTTATTCTTTCTGGAAAGTCATGGAGTCCGGCCCCTCTTCCCAGGACCAGGAGCCCCCCCACAACCACTGAGCTCTCTCCCGGTCCCCACCTTCGGAGCGGGAGGAGACGGGCGGGGACAGATGGATGCCCACAGAGAGCCAGGCCCTGCGCTGGGGACCGGGCCAGAGGGGGCACCGTCCCCGCCCCCAACGAGGGCTCGGACTGGCGCCGAGTCTCGCCCGGGCTTTGAAGCAGCCCTGGGGCTGGCTCCCGTGTTATTAAAACAGTAAGTGGCTGAGCCAGGACCCGGGCCCGGGCCTGGGCCTGGGGACCGTCCCTGTGCTTGAGGAGGGGTTCCAAGCAAGCGGGCGAGCTGCACATTCAGTCCCATGATTGGATGGAATGAAGGCCATTGCTGGGGCCAGGCTGGCGGGTATGGGACAGAGTCTGGCGGATGAGAAGGGGGAGGGGTTCCCTGTCTGACTCTCTCTCTCCCTCTCTCTCTCTCTCTCTCACACACACACACACACACACACACACACACACACAGCAGCCTTCACCCAGCAGCATTCACTTCCTGCCCTCAAAGTCCTCCTTTTGCTCCATTTCAGGCGCCCCCTCCCCCTCCCCCTGCCCCAGGTACACAGCTCCCCTCGCCACCACCTGACCGTGCTCCCGCGGAGAAAGGTCTCCCTGTTGACGGGGCTGGCAAAGCCCGTGTCCTCGCATAAAAGCCTCACTGAGTCCCGGAGACACTTGGAAGCCAGACAGAATGGAATTTCTCCCTATTTTCTTTACAGCTAAGAAAACACACACGAACACAAGAGCATATTTATGGCGATATTTCTATCCCAGAGTTTGTCTTTACCAAAAAAGAAGAAGAAGAAGAAGAAGAAGGAAAAGAAATAAAATGAGTTTTTCTGCCCACTCCCCTGCCCACCCCAAACCCCGTTTCGGTTCTGGTGGAGGAGAACGGGGAGGAAAACAGAGCAGGCCCAGGCCCCGCGGAGAAGAACCACAGCGTCCGGGACAATGTCACGTTTGTTCGGAGAGCGAGGGGAGGAACGCGACCCCGAAAACACACACCGCGTCCCGGGGAAGGGTGTTCCGAGGGAAGGAGGACAGGCGGGCCTTGTGTCTGGACACGGCCTCCCTGAGGCTCCGGGGCGAGAGGAGCCCGCAGGTCTAGCCCCGTCCCCAGAGTCGGGGGGGGCGCCACGTTGCCCTCTTGAGCCTTCCGGGGACGGTCCCCCAGCTGTGAATGGGCACGCCGGGCCTGAAAGACCTGGAGCCCCGGGTCATTTCTGAAGGCGGCGTCTAGGGAGGAAAGTCCCCGAGGCGAGGCGGCGGGCTGCCGCTTAGGCGTTCGGGGTTCTCCAGACTCCCTGCGTGCCGGGGAGACACGCGGTGCGTTCATCTCTCCGCACACGCAGCCCCTTCGCCGCTCGCAGGGCGTGTGCGCGTGGAACAGACGACTGTGGTGGGAAGATCACTCAAAACGACGGGCAAGCCCTGGCTGGCGCAGCTCAGTGGACTGAGCGCGGGCTGCGAACCAAAGCGTCTCAGGTTCGATTCCCAGCCAAAGCATCGCAGGTTCGATTCCCAGTCAGGGCACATGCCCGGGTTGCAGGCCAGGTCCCCAGTGGGGGCCATGTGAGAGGCAACCACACATTGATTCTCTCTCTCCTTCTTTCTCCCTCCCTTCCCCCATCTCTAAAAATAAATAAATAAAATCTTTTAAAAAAATCGACAGGCAAGAGTCACCCAAGAGAGTCCCCTGGAGTCCTGGGCCCTGCCCACCCCTCCCCCATGCATCCCTGGGATGGGAACCCCAGCCTGGCAGGGAGGCATCGGCCCCAGCAGACGGTGACTGAGCCCACAGCGACACCTGCTGGGCCATCAGATTCTGGTGGAGCTGAGATCGGGGACGCCAGGGGCCACAGCCTCAGCTGGGGGCCGCTCCATTCTTGTCTGTAGTTGCAGCTGCGCCATGACACGCAGGCATCTTAAACCAAGAGCAGCGCTCCAGGACGGCAGAGGAGGGTGGGGGCAGTGCCCATGCCAATGCCAGTCCGCCCAGGAGCACAACCAGTAAAGGTCACTGGGCACGTGTCACAGAGGCGCAGGTCCCAGGGGGAGGCCCAGGGGCCTGCTCCATCTCGGCTGCCCACTAGATCCTTCCGGGACGCTTTCCAGACACCCGAGGACCGGACGGCAGCCCAGGCGATGTCCACGGGCCACTGCAGTTGAGAGCCAGCAGTCTGCTCAGCCCCCCACGGCTCCGCTGGGCTTTCCTGGGGTGCGCCTGCAGCTGTCCGCTCGGGGTCGGGGTCCCAATCACACCGCAGACACCCTTCACGTTGTGGTGGTCACAGATTTGTAGGCCTCACGTGACAGTTTTCCGGCAGGTGACTGCGGGGACCCCGTGCAGCCTCCCTAGCGCCGTGTGATCTCGTGTTCTTGGGCGTGACGTCTCTCACCAGGTGCCGTGTGTCCGGGAAGCTCCTGGACCTCTCACTGCACGGGAACCCCCAAGTAACACCGCTGCCTCCCCTCTTGCAGGTGAACTATGACCACTTTACTCTTGGCGTTCGTGACTCTGAGGGTCATCGCCACCGCAGCAGCCGTCTCCGTAGAAGTTCCAGGTGAGGACATTCCCGCGCCGGTCTCGTTCGCGCGGGAGGCTCTGTGGGCCATCACGCCCCCGGTGTGAGCCACCCCGAGGCCCGAGGTCGAGAGGTTGAGAGGTGGCTGCCTGGGCGGGGTGTGGACAGAGCTGGGATGGGAGGCCAGGGTGAAGGCCGCCCCCTCGCAGTGCAGAGCAGCGGTGGGGAAAAACGGGGCCCAGTTCCCCTCCTCCCGCCTGCACCCACATCCCGACGCCAGACTCTAAGGAATCTGAGGGTTCTGCGTTTGCGTCTGGCTTTCCGTTTTGAGAGGTATCCGTGTCCTGGCTGGCGTAGCTCAGTGGATTGAGCGCGGGCTGCGAACCAAAGCATCGCAGGTTCCATTCCCAGTCAGGGCACATGCCGAGGTTGCAGGCCATGACCCCCAGCAACCGCACATTGATGTTTCTCTCTCTCTCTTTCTCTTTCTCCCTTCCTTCCCTCTCTAAAAATAAATAATAAATAAAATCTTTTAAAAAAAGAGCTTTAGAATAAATACACAACTTAACAGAAAGGTATCCTTGTCAAACAGGAAGATAGAACATATGTTATTTAACAGTCTGTTCACTTGATTTATAACTGGTAAATATTTAGGCACAGGGTATCTGGGGGTGTCCCTTTGTCCTCTCGCTCGGGGACCCACACATGCCCACTCCCAGCCATAACCTGCGGTGGTCCAACCCCCCGGGCAAGCCAGTCCCCGGAGCCGTAGAGACAGCAGAGCTGGGCGTCACCATCGCCTTCGGCGGCGATTCCCGGAGGACCACCGCCTGTGAACCCGTGCTGTGTCGTAGAGCGTGCAAGGGGAGGTGTCTGTGGAAGGGCCTGGTGGGGGCTGCCCAGGACATCAGAAGGTTAGCGCCGGACCCCAGGCATTCCTGGCTCCCCGCTCCTTGCCCTGTTATGTACCCACCACCCACAAATATCTGAAGCATTTCTGAGTTCAACCGGCACCCCCTCCCGCACAAAGCGTCTCCTAAGCAAATGACTCACCGTGAAAGGTGCCGTTTTTTCTTTTTTCTTTTTTCCAAAAGCTGTTTCCTTCCCTTTCCAGGAAGACCTTTACATCTAAAAGCATTCGGTAAACCGCGTGTCTTCCCTGAGAATGCTCCGTGATGTTTTATAGAGTCCAGCCATATCACACCCGCACCCCGTCTGACTCTCTGCAGACTTCAATGTCTGGCTGTCTCTGGTGCATCTCCCACTAGGCCCCCCAGTGCCCCAGCAGTGGAGGAGAATGACCTGTCCTCCAGCAAAGCCAGGAACCAAGCCCGAGGCCGACCTCCGTCCATGGGGCCCATCTCTGAAGTTTTGACTCTTGGCTTTAAAAGTTTTGTGGGGGGTTTTTTTCTTCCCCATCCTAATCTCTCCACCCCCAAATAGTTACTCCCCCAAGTCTGTGAGTCAAGCTGCCACTCCAGGAAGAAGGGCTCTGTTTATCCGGTGGCTCCGCAGCCCCCAGGACACCTTAGTTTCAGAAGCAGAGAGGTGGTCTCGACTCTGAAGTTCGTCCCGCCCTCCTCAGGGACCCTCCCCTGGCTCCGTGGCAGACACCGGGGGTCTTGAGGAACGCTGCTCTGGACAGGGTGTCGAGAGGATGCCTGGGAATTCCAAATCGGGCACAGGAGTGTCCCCGACACAGGCGCACGGGCTCGCTGGGTCGTGCCTGGGAGGCTGGGCGGTCGTCTCTGCGCTCTAACCAGCCTGTCTCCCCCGCAGGCCCCGACAACTCGCTGAGCGTCAGCATCCCCGAACCGTCCCCGCTGCGGGTCCTCCTGGGGACCTCCCTCACCATCCCCTGCTACTTCATCGACCCCATGCACCCCGTGACCACCGCCCCCTCCACCGCCCCCCTCGCCCCGAGAATCAAGTGGAGCCGCATTTCCAAGGAGAAGGAGGTGGTTCTGCTGGTGGCCACGGAAGGCCAGGTGCGGGTCAACAGCGCCTACCGGGACAAGGTCTCGCTGCCCAACTACCCGGCCATCCCCAGCGACGCCACCTTGGAAATCCAGAGCCTGCGCTCCAACGACTCAGGGGTCTACCGCTGCGAGGTCATGCACGGCATCGAGGACAGTGAGGCCACCCTGGAGGTCGTGGTGAAAGGTGAGACCGCCCCCTGACTCCCACCAGAGACCCTGGTTCACCTGCAGAAAGAAACAAATGGCCTCTTCCCCGTGGGGACCCAGACGGGCTGGCTCTCCAATCCCAGACCCTCCCCCTGCCCGTGTGTGCACCTCCGTCGACTTACTCGACTCCAGGTGTAACGGAGAGCTGGGAACACCATTCCTTCTGGACTTCGAGGGAATTACATACTTCCTGGCTGCGGTCACACGGGGATGACGGCTGGTGCTTGGCCGAGATCCTGTGGTTGTGTGGCCTGTGGTCATTCGTCCCCTGTTGTGCGGACAAGCAGTCTGAGGCTGAGTGGCTTGCCTGAGCTGTCCCCGGAGGTGACATGGGCAGCCCCCGGCTCTTCCACCAGCCGTCTTTTCTCTCCCCCAGCCCCCACCCCCATTCTCAGTCCCGGAAGACACCCTGGTGCCCTTTCTCTCTCCCTGGAGTGACAAGAAAAAGGTGTAAGGAGGCAGCTTGTCGTTCCCTTTAAAGAACTTCCTGATTATCAGAATCATCCTAGGTGTTTTTAGAAGGTGCCTGGGGAGGTAGTGAGGCCCCTGTCACTGGAGGTATTCCAGCAAAAGCAGGAAGGCCGCCAGCGAATGTAGGAAGGGGAGTCATGCCCCAGGTCCCCAGTAGGGGGCGAGTCAGCTAGAGGCCTGCACCGGAGGGCCGGGAGGTCCCTTCTGCGACGGCCGTCACTGCGTGAGCCCCTGCAGGGACAAGAGGCCGTGCCTGACGTGCTCGCTGGGCCGCGCCTGGCTGGCAGGCGTTGTGTTCCACTACAGAGCCATCTCCACGCGCTACACCCTGGACTTCGACAGGGCGCAGCGGGCCTGCCTGCAGAACAGCGCCATCATCGCCACGCCCGAGCAGCTGCAGGCCGCCTACGAGGACGGCTTCCACCAGTGCGACGCCGGCTGGCTGGCCGACCAGACCGTCAGGTGAGCCCCCGGGCTGGCCGCGGAGAGTGGGGTGGCCGATGAGCTGGAGCGTCGACCGGCACCGAGCTGGTGCCAGCGTGACACCATGGCCGGCCCAGGTTGGCGCTGGAGGGATGCCCTGGCCGACCCTGCATCGGGCACCCGGTGTCCTGCGGTAGAGCGGGTGGCTGCCAGCAGCTTTGCCTCTTGGGAGCATTCTCCGCACACTTCACACATACACATCGTCATTCTCCTACAGCCTAAAATATTTACTCTCTGGCCTTCTACAGAAAAGGTTCGCAGGCCCCTGAAAGACCACGTGGGGTACCGAGACATACCCAGCAAGGGGGCTGCCTCTAGTCACCAATAGCTACACAAACACACACGTCAGTAACGCTGCAGGAAAACCTGCCGACACAAAGAGTCCCCACCCCCAGGGCAGGCCCCGGCAAACGCATCAGGAGGTCGCCGCTTCCCCCCATGAAGGGAGAGGACACGGGTCACAGGCCCCCTCTGTCCCCTGGTGAAACGCCCCACCGTGTGTCCCCGGCAGGTACCCCATCCACGTCCCTCGGGAAGGTTGCTATGGAGACAAGGATGAGTTTCCGGGCGTGAGAACCTACGGCATCCGCGACACCAATGAGACCTATGACGTGTACTGCTTTGCGGAGGAGATGGAGGGTGAGGACGCCCTGGCCCCTTCCCCGGGAGTCCACGAGCTGCCCCCTTCTCCCTAGTGACACTCGGATTCTGGGACAGGGCACCGAGCCAAGGCGCCCCCTGGGCCATGCCCGGAGGGGCGGGTAAGAGAGGAGGGAAGCCCCCAGGTGCCCCAGGTGCCTCCGTGGCCTCGGGTGCCTGCAAACTGGTGCCACACCAGAGTGCTTGTCACTGGTCCCTCACCTGGGACGGCCTCTCCCAGCCAGGACCCCCCGCAGCTCTGCCCAGCCACCCATGTCCCAAGTCAGAACGGGCTCCAGACCTGGAGGCCCCCCCGTGGACCTCCCCAGGGATGGGGGAGGCGGGGGCGGCGGGAGGTCCTCACCCTGCCTGCTGTGTCCATCCCAGGCGAGGTCTTCTATTCGACGTCGCCGGAGAAGTTCACCTTCCAGGAGGCCGCCAACGAGTGCCGGCGGCTGGGCGCCCGGCTGGCCACCACGGGCCAGCTCTACCTGGCCTGGCAGGGCGGCATGGATGTGTGCAGCGCCGGCTGGCTGGCCGACCGCAGCGTGCGCTACCCCATCTCCAAGGCCCGGCCCAACTGCGGGGGCAACCTGCTGGGCGTGAGGACCGTCTACCTGCACGCCAACCAGACGGGCTACCCCGACCCCTCGTCCCGCTACGACGCCATCTGCTACACAGGTGCGGCGGGCGCCTGGGGGCCCGGAGAAAGAGATCCGGGAACGGGGAGCTGTCTTGTTTTTACCGTTTCAAAGGGCCCCTGGATCCCCGAAGCCCATGTGTTAGCAACCCCCATTCCCGCTGGTTCCGAGGAGCTAAGGCAGAGTGGCCGGAGGCGGCAGGGTAAACGGGTTACGAGCGTGAGCGTCAGTGCCTGGGTTTGCTCAGGCTGGAACCTCAGCTCTGCCGCCTGCTGCTGCACAACCCGGGAAAGCCACGGCCCTGAGCCTCGGTTTCCTCAGCCGTCTCCTAGGGAGGTGGTGGCACCACATGGGAGATGGGGGAGCCCAACAGGAGGCCGTGCCCCCCTGGGGTGTCCTGTTATCTGCCCTCAGAATGGGACTCACGGAAAAGAAGGGAGGGAGGTTTCCGCAAAGGCTTTATTTGGAAAATGTAGGCGAAACATTTTTTTATCTTACATTTGACACAGTCTAGGTAATAACCACAATCGAATGAGAATTCTTGGAGGGACAAACAATTGAATGAATGCAGAGTTGCATCAACTTTATGTTAAAATTAGCGGCCGTGGAGTGATGTAGCTCACTTCCTGTTAACTCCCACAGCCAGGTCTTAACGTGAAATAACGAGGATGTCTGCCCTGGCTGGTGTGGCTCAGTGGATTGAGCACCGGCCTGCGAACTAAAGAGTCACTGGTTCGACTCCCAGTCAGGGCACATGCCTGTGTTGCGGGCCAGGTCCCCAGTAGGGAGCGCATGAGAGGCAACAACACATTGATGTTTCTCTCCCTCTCATTCTCCCTCCCTTACGCTCTCTCTAAAAATAAATAAATAAACTCTTAAATAAGAATAAGAATAATGAGGATTTCCCCCTAAGCCTCTCTCAACCTTTCCATGGTCTAACCACCCTCTCTGAGTCAGCACACGCTGGTGGGTTTTCTCTTTATCGGTGATTAACTGGCTCGTTTCCGCCAGACCCTGAGATTCCCATGAGTCGTTCTCTCGTCTTTCATCCATGTCACGAGCTCCTTCATCCTCAGCGCCGTCTTCCCATGTCCCTTTATGAGAGGTTTACGTTGTCCCATTGGCTGCTCAGCGAGGTGCCCGGGGGACAGACAGGTCAGGAGGCCGAGGTCATGGGTCAGGAAGAGACGCTGGAGCTGCACGGGTTTCACAAGCAGCGGGACGATTGGTCGATGCCTCGCGCTACGACAGCTCCGCAGTCTTCTGCCACCTGGAGACCGTGGGGCCCCCTGAAGGGAACCGTCGCCCAGACGAGGGGCCAGGCGCACAGTGGGTGCTCTCCCTCCCGGTGGGGAAGGAGGTGGAGCTGGGGCTCCCCTCCCCCCTGTCAACCCCCGGCTGAGTTGCTAACTGGGGCTCGTCTTCGTCCCCGCCCAGGTGAAGACTTCGGGGACATCCCGGAAAACTTCTTCGGGGTGGGCGGGGAAGAGGACATCACCGTCCAGACTGTGACCTGGCCGGACGTGGAGCTGCCCCTCCCCCGCAACGTCACCGAGGGGGAAGCCCGGGGCAACGTGATCCTCACCGTGAGGCCCATCTTCGGCTCCCCCACGGCCGCGGAGCCCGAGGAGCCCTTCACGCTGGGTCCTGACCAAGAGGCCACCGCCTTCCCTGGGGCCGAGAACGGGACTGGAGAGGCCACCGGGCCCTGGGCCTCGCCCGAGGAGTCCACGCCCGGCCTGGGCCCCTTCACCGGCGAGGACCTGGTCGTGCAGGTGACCGCAGCCCCGGGTGAGGCCGAGGTCCCCGGGCGGCCACGATTGCCAGGGGGTAAGTGCGCCCTCCTCGGGGGGGAGGCTGCAGGGGCAGGTGGGAGGGACTTGGCCTGGGGATCTACACTTTCACCTGCACCTGGGACCGGGGCCAGGCCTCTCTCCCTCTCAGAATGCGTTCTCCTTATTGATGAGACAAAGGGGATTGGCCAGGCCAGGGACGCGCATGCTCTGTGGCCACAAAGCATTTCCTTCACGTGAAGTCGTAGGTGGGAACCAGTGTGTATGTCAGGCAGGTAAAGGTGCTCGTAGGGCCCAGGGGAAGTGGAGGAGAAAACCAGGGTTCTTCTATCCAGGACCCTCCTGGCCCCGTCAGGCACCTCCACAGGACAGAACCACTGAAACCCGCCACACTCGGAGACTGGCGGGGGGGGGGGGCATTCACGGCGCTGACCCTCCAGGGGTCCACAGACGACGGCCCACAGACCGCATCGAGCTCGCCACCTACTTCTACACAGCTGTGCACTCAAAATCATATTGCATTTTTCAATAGTTGCAGGACAACTAATAGTTGCAGGGAGTCATGAGAAGAAGATTTTGATACGTAATGAAAACTACATAAAATTCAAAGTTTGAGGTCCGCATCTCCTGGGAGTGGGATCGGAAGTAGGGAAGGAAGGAAGGGATGAAGGGAGGCTGCTCCTCAAGAAGCCGGGGTTCCCTCCGTGCCCACAGAGCCGTGGGGACCGGGCCCTATGGCATCCTGAACCTGCTGTGTCTCCTTCTTTCTTTCCCTCCGCCCCGCCCCCGCCCCCAGGGGTCGTGTTCCACTACCGCCCGAGCTCCACCCGCTACTCGCTGACCTTCGAGGAGGCCCAGCAGGCCTGCCTGCGCACCGGGGCAGTCATCGCCTCGCCCGAGCAGCTCCAGGCCGCCTACGAGGCCGGCTACGAGCAGTGTGACGCCGGCTGGCTGCAGGACCAGACCGTCAGGTGAAGGGCCCGCCGCCCCCAGCCCAAACCCAACCTGGGGGTCAGGCGAGGGGAGCCCCAGCCTGGCCCTGCACCCGAGACACAGCGGGCACCTGCTGCCCCTGAGGGTTAATTAATTAACCAGTGTCTCCACGGCTGCTCCCTTCATTCCCGCGCCCCCAGAACCGAGGCAAATTCAGAGAGGGTGAGGAAGGGCCCCAGGTGACATTGCGTTCCAGGTCATTTCCCCTGAGAGACATAGAGAGGGAGACCCCATCCTCAAGCCCCCCAGCCCCTTCCAGTGCTCTTGCATGCAGTGGGCTCCCCTCTGAAGCCAGGGGCACCCCAATATGAGGCGCTGTTTCCTGGTGTGCATCCCCCTGGACAACCGCATACCCTCCCCGCCTGGTTCCCCAAGTGGCCTAGCGGCCATACCCTGCACCCCGAGGCCCTGAACAGGCCCTCACCTGCCCCTCCTGCCCTCCTTGCAGATACCCCATCGTGAGCCCGAGGACCCCGTGCGTGGGGGACAAGGACAGCAGCCCTGGAGTCAGGACGTATGGCGTGCGCCCGCCGTCGGAAACCTACGATGTCTACTGCTACGTGGACAAGCTCGAGGGTACGAGTCCTGTCCCTGCACTTCGGGCCCTGGATGGGCAGGGGGCTGTCGGGGGAACACAGGAAGGAGAGAGAGCTCCACCCTCCGCCCACTCCCGGCTTTGTCTTCGGATCAATAAATCCCTTGTTTTAAAGATTTTATTTATTTTTAGAGAGGGAAGGGAGGGAGAAAGAGAGAGAGAGAGAGAAACATCAATGTGCGGTTGCTGGGGACCATGGCCTGCAACCCAGGCACGTGCCCTGACTGGGAATCGAACCTGCGATGCTTTGGTTTGCAGCCCGCACTCAATCCACTGAGCTATGCCAGCCAGGGCAAATCTCTCGTTTTAAATGCCAACCTGGGCAGAGTCCCGACACCCACGGGCAGATCCATGGCCCTGAGGGAAGGCGGGAAGCACAAACAGGCAGAAAAACCTCTTCCCCAAACATTGTCCGAGCTTGTTGAGCCGCAGATCCTCAGCTTTCGCTTTGGGTCATTTTATTTTAACTCTCGTGGAAATTGCCAAATCGCTCTTCCCCGGACCCCGGCTTGGGAAACACTGGTGTCCTGGAAAGGTGTCAGCGTTGCCACCTGCTGACTGCGGGGCCTGAGGAAGCGATTTAGCTGTTCCAGGCCTGGGTGTGCTCGTCTGTGGAGCAGGCCTGACTGACCCCTCCGGTCAGGGGCTTTTTTTTAGTATGACATGGGGTATGTGTGAAAAGTGCCCAGCACAAGTAGGTATTTATTCAGTAAACTCGAACTGCCTTCCCCCAAGTCAGACGGGCCCCCAGGTGTCGTTCCGGGGGCCAGGACCCAGCCCGCAGCAGCGGTCACTGGCCCGAGGGGAGGCCCCGGGCGGTGGGGTGGGCCCGGCCCCGCGGCATTCACGGTGCTCTCAGACAAGGGCTGTGGTGCAGGAACCACAGGGGGTGTAAGGGTGCCCCGGGCGGGGGTTCCTAGCTCAGCAGGGAAGGGGTGCCTGGGTGCGACTGGGGAATTTAGAACGGGCCATGGAGGGAACGTAAGGGACCATCCCTTCTCAGTTGAGCTGCCGCTTTGCTGGTTTTAGCGCTGAAAGTCCCGACTCCTAGGACATCCCAGCTGGTCACCCCATTTCCCAGCGGCCCAGGAGATCCAAGGGGGAGTGGTCCAACAGGGGCATATTTTCGGGCTGGGTGGAGTCTTTAACCCGTGCTGGGGCAGGGGGTTTGGGCAGAGGCCACCCCGCCCGCCCATGGGGTCACTGCAGGGTCACTCACGCCGGCCGCCGGCCTCTGCCCCCCGCAGGGGAGGTGTTCTTCGTCACCCGCCCGGAGCAGTTCACCTTCCAGGAGGCCCTGGAGTTCTGCAAGACCCACAACGCCACGCTGGCCTCCACCGGCCAGCTCTACGCCGCCTGGAGCCTGGGCCTGGACAAGTGCTACGCCGGCTGGCTGGCCGACGGCAGCCTCCGCTACCCCATAGTCACCCCTCGGCCGGCCTGTGGCGGCGACAAGCCAGGCGTGAGGACCGTCTACCTCTACCCCAACCAGACAGGCCTCCTGGACCCCCTGTCCCGGCACCACGCCTTCTGCTTCCGAGGTACGTGGCCGCGGGAGGTCCGCTCCTCCAGTCCCCGCTTCCGCCCTGGGGTGGGGGGACTCCCTGGCACGGACCCCGCCTGGCTCCTGTCCGCTCTCCCTGTCCGTCAGAACGAGGAAAAGGTCAGTCCCTGGGTGGGGGGGTGGGCAGGGCCAGCTCTGGAGCTAGCGGGACCTTAGGCTCCCACTCCGAGGCAGACGCATCCTCCCGAGGTTACCCGGAGACACGTCGAGAGGAGTGAGGGAGGCCTTAGGCTCTCAGATCAGGCCGACTTGAAGTTCAACTACGACTCTCGCTAAGCAGCCGTGTGACCCTGAGCGAGTCACTGACCCTCTCACTTCCTCTGCCTCATCTGTGAAATCGTGATATAATCGTTGCGTTCAAAGAGCTGCCACTTACAAGCCACTGGCTCTGGGGAAGCCACCTGATCCTGTGCCTTTGTTTCCCCATCTGTAAATGAGATCATGGTATCTACCTCACAAGGCCGTGATGGGATAAAAATGCTTCTGTGGGCAGAACGCCTTTAAACCCTGCTTGGTGATATGATACCTGATGTAGAAGAGAGGCCCCCAGCCCACCCAGAAATAGAGTGCCGATGGTGTGTGAATATTGACAGTGTGGTCGATGCCAATAGCTCTTATGAATGGGGGAGGTCAAAAGTGACCTCACTGGACTGCAGGAGGGAGTTGGGTGGAGGCCCAGCGAGGTTCTAGCCCAGGTCTGGCTCCCCTCAACGTGCCCCAGTTGCCCTCAAGAAGGGCCAGCTGGGATCGGCCCCTGGTAAGAAGGAAGGCTCACCAACCCGCATTCCCTGCAGGAGTCTCAGCTGCGCCCTCTCCAGGAGAAGAGGGGAGTAGCACGCCCACACCACCCTCGGGTGTGGAGGATTGGATCACGGCCGACGTGAGGCCGGGCGTGGCCGCTGTCCCCTCGGGGGAGGAGACGACGGCAGTCCCAGATCTGACCACTGAGCCAGAAAACCAGACGCGATGGACACCAGCCTACACCCCCGCGGGCGCTTTCCCGCTGCCAGGTCCGTGTGGCCTTCCCTGCCGCGGAGGGTTTGGGCTAGAGTGTCAGCATCCGGCATCGTCCCAGAGTCGGATTCGGGGGGCGGGGCTTGGAGCGGCGTCTGAGGCTGTGCCTGTCTATCAAGCCACTGGGTGATGGCTGGTGCTGCTGGTCTCCGGACCACGCTGTGAGAACCGTGGGTTTAGGCAATTCAGGGGATGATGTGGAGGAACTTGAAGGGTGACCTGGTGGCCCTCAGTGATAGTCAGGGCGCCCCCACATCCGGTGGGGCGGTGGACGGCACCCCTTCCGGTCTCCAAGCACAGCCCGAGGGTGCTGCTGCGGAGTTCGCTGGTAGCTGCCCTTCCCCTCCCCTCCCTCCCTCCCTCCTTCCCTTCCTCCTCCCTCTCCAGAGATACTGTGCAAGGTTCCAACAGGAAATGCCTGCGCACATGTCTGAACTCTTGAGAGAAAAATTTTTGCCAGGAAGGAATGGGATGCAGCTTCTTTGCAGCAGCTTGAAACGGGGTAGCATCACTGAATCCGCACCTCGTCTTTCTCCCTCCTTTCCTGCAGGGGTCCCTCCTACAGGGCCTCCCACCGGCGCAGCCACCGAGGAGAGCACAGGCAGCCCGTCTGCCACGGAAGTGCCCTTGGTCTCGGAGGAACCATCCCCCTCGGAGACGCCATCCCCCTCGGAGATGCCGTTCACCTCTGAGGAGCCGTCCACCCCCTCACCCCCAGCGCCCAGCGGGATGGAGCTGCCAGGGTCGGGGGCCACATCCGGGGTACCGGAGGTCAGCGGCGACTTCACAGGCAGTGGAGAAGCTTCAGGACACCTGGACTCCAGTGGGCAGCCCTCGGGGGGCAGTGCAAGTGGGCTGCCCTCGGAGGACCTTGACTCCAGCGGCGCCCCCACGACAGTGGGCTCGGGCCTGCCGGTGGGAAGTGGACTGGCCTCGGGGGAGGAAGACAGAATCACGTGGTCCAACGCTTCTCAGGTTGGTGGGCTGCCCTCTGGCGGTGAGGGTCTAGAAGGCTCTGCTTCTGGAGTAGAGGACCTCAGTGGACTTCCTTCTGGAACGGAGGGTCTAGAGACCCCTGCCTCTGGAGTAGGGGACCTGAGTGGACTTCCTTCTGGAGAAGGTCCGGAAGTCTCTGCTTCTGGAGTAGAGGACCTCAGTGGACTTCCTTCTGGAACGGAGGGTCTAGAGACCCCTGCCTCTGGAGTAGAGGACCTGAGTGGACTTCCTTCTGGAGAAGGTCCGGAAGTCTCTGCCTCTGGAGTAGGGGACCTGAGTGGACTTCCTTCTGGAGAAGGTCCGGAAGTCTCTGCTTCTGGAGTAGAGGACCTCAGTGGACTTCCTTCTGGAACGGAGGGTCTAGAGACCCCTGCCTCTGGAGTAGGGGACCTGAGTGGACTTCCTTCTGGAGAAGGTCCAGACGTCTCTGCTTCTGGAGTAGAGGACCTCAGGGGACTTCCTTCTGGAAGAGAAGGTCTAGAAACCTCTGCTTCTGGAGTAGGGGACCTCAGTGGACTTCCGTCTGGAAGAGAAGGTCTAGAGACCTCTGGTTCTGGAGCTGAGGACCTCAGTGGGTTGCCTTCTGGAAAAGAAGACTTCACTGGATCCGCTTCCGGAGCCCTGGACCTGGGCAGAATACCCTCTGGAACTCTAGGAAGTGGGCACGCTCCAGAAGCGAGCAGCCTGCCCTCTGGATTCAGCGGTGAGTATTCCGGAGTGGACTTTGGAAGTGGCCCGTCCTCCGGCCTGCCTGACCTCAGTGGGCTTCCCTCTGGGTTCCCGACCGTCTCCCTGGTGGACACCACGCTGGTGGAAGTGGTCACGGCCACCGCGGCAAGTGAACTGGAAGGGAGGGGAACCATTGGCATTAGTGGCGCTGGAGAAATATCCGGGCTGCCCTTCAGTGGGCTGGACATCAGTGGGGGAGCCAGCGGACTCCCTTCAGGAGCCGAACTCAGCGGCCAGGCATCTGGATCTCCGGAAATCATCAGCGGGGAAACGTCTGGACTCTTCGATGTCAGCGGACGGCCGTCGGGACTTCCCGACATCAGCGGGGGGACATCTGGGCTTTTTGAGGTCAGTGGGCAGCCATCAGGGTTTCCGGGGGAAACGTCTGCAGGGACCGAGCTTAGTGGGCTGCCTTCCGGACTCCCAGATGCCAGTGGAGAAGTTTCGGGAGACCTCTTCGGCAGTGCTCGGCCGTTCGGCATGACCGACCTCAGTGGGGAGACGTCCGTGGTCCCTGACCTCAGCGGGCAGCCCTCGGAGTTGCCGGGCTTCAGCGGGGCCACACCCGGAATTCCTGACCTGGTCTCCGGCACCCCGAGCGGCAGCGGCGAATCTTCTGGCATTACGTTTGTGGACACCACTCTGGTTGAAGTGACCCCCACGACGTTCAAAGAGGAAGAAGGTTTAGGGTCCGTGGAGCTCAGCGGCCTCCCTTCCGGGGAGACGGATCTCTTGGGCACCTCTGGGGTCGGGGATGTCAGTGGGCGGCCTTCCGGAGCCATCGACTCCAGCGGGTTTACATCCCAGCCTCCGGAACTCAGCGGCCTGCCGAGCGGAGTAGCCGAGGTCAGCGGAGAAGCCTCTGGAGCCGAGGCGGGGAGCAGCCCGCCCTCGGGAGCCTATGACGGCAGTGGACTCGCATCGGGTCTCCCTACGGTCTCCCTCGTCGACAGAACTTTGGTGGAGTCTGTCACCCAGCCTCCCACGGCCCAAGAAGCAGGAGAAGGGCCCTCGGGAGTTTTAGACCTCAGTGGGCTGCAGTCCGGGCTGGTGGAGCCCAGTGGGGAGCCTCCGAGCACCCCGTATTTTAGCGGGGACTTTTCTGGCACCGTTGATGTGAGTGCAGAGTCTTCAGCAGCCACGGGCAGCAGCGGGGAGGCCTCAGGATTTCCGGAAGTCACTTTAATCGCTTCTGAATTTGTGGAGGGTGTTACTGAGCCAACCGTTTCCCAGGAACTCGGCCAGAGACCCCCTTTGGCACGCACCCCCCCGATTTTTGAGTCCAGTGGAGAAGCCTCAGCATCGGGAGACGTCAGCGGAGCCACACCGAGGTTCCCTGGGTCTGGAGTAGAGGCGTCGTCAGTCCCGGGATCTGGCCTCGAAACATCTGCCTATCCTGAGCCTGGGGTGGGGGCGTCTGCTGCTCCCGAGGCCAGTGGAGGAGCTTCGGGGTCCCCCGATCTGAGTGAAACCACCTCTGCCTTCCCTGGCGCAGACCTGGGCGGGGCCTCAGGCCTGGACGCCAGCGGCAGCACCCCCGCCTTCCAGGAAGGACCCACAGAGGGCTCGACGCCCTCGGGAGTGAGTGGCGAGCCGCTCCATGGGACCAGCACCTACGACGTGGTCACAGAGACATCGGGCTGGGCTTCGGCCACAGCCACGGCTTCTGGAGACAGGACCGAACTCAGCGGAGACCCATCCGGTCACACCTCAGGGCTGGATGTTGTTATCGGCACCGGCGTCCCGGAGTTTGAACGGACCCCACAGACCCAGCGCCCCGCAGAGGCGCGTCTAGAAGTCGAGTCCTCCAGCCCCCTGCACTCAGGAGAGGAGGTGCAAACAGCCGAAACAGCCACCTTCCTAACAGACGCGTCCACCCCAGCCTCTCCAGAGGGGACAGAAGAATCCGGGGCAACCACTACAGGTATTGTTGGCATTCCCCCCCGACCCCCCAGTAAACGTGTTTGTGCAGTTCAGATGGTAGCATAGTAGCGGGAGGCGGTGTAGATTCAAGGTTCTGAGCACCACTCCCCCATGGGTTAGCTGTGCAGCCACAGGCAAGTTTCTTAACCTCTCTGATTCTCAACCATAAAATGGGACTAGTCCCAGGGAAGATGCAGCAACGTGTAAACATATATAAAACAAGTACTTAGCATCTCAGTGTGCACGCGGTATGTGCTCATAAAGATCGGGGAGTGTTGCCGTTACAGCGATGTTACATCACGAGAACACATATGTGGGGGCTCAGTTACGTGGACTTGGTACAGAGGGAGGGAAGGATGGCGGGTTACACGGTGCCAGAGATGACACCCCCACGCCCTTCCCACGGAGCGAGTGTGAGATGAGACAGTGTAGCTACTGGTGACATTTATGCCCAACTTTGTGCCAAATTCAAACCAGCCCAGCTGAAGGAATGACAAAGTGTCATTTCGGCTGAGTGGTGACTTTAGTCCCTGCGTCCCCACCTGCACCCCGGTACCAGGGACTCCTCGGCCCTGTAGTGATTGTCTCACCCCCACCATCCCAGCACCGGCACCAGGAGCTGACCCTTTTCCACATTTTGCTCTGGGCTCGCTTGCATGTCCCCCAGCGCTGAGAGACCTTTCCCAGTCAGAGAGCCCGGCCCCCAGAAGCCGAGGCCAGGTACCCAGGAGGGCCCTCAGAAACGTGCTGACCCCCATTCAGCCTCCTGAGCTTGGGGGACCACGTGCCCCGACCTCGAGGTCTCAGAGGCTTCTCCGTGTGCCAGGATGCTAGCTTCTCAGAGCTCAGCCTCTCCCTGGGGGTTGCAGCCCCCGCCAGGCCCTGTGCTGAGGATCCCTGTGGTGCTGGGACCTGCCAGGAGACGGCGGGACACGCCACGTGCCTGTGTCCCCCCAGCCACACTGGCGAGCACTGTGACATAGGTAAGCCCCTCCTTGGGGAGGGAGGGGACTCCTTCACCCCCAGAAGGATCTGCAGGCGCAGGCAGCGACCGAGGTCCCCCGAGGCTTGGGATCCTCAGGGAAGAGGAAGGAGAGAGAGGTGCACAGTGACCTGTGGGGGCAGAAGCCTCAAGAAAAACAGGGCAGGTCTTCCCAGGGCATCTGTTCCACCTGGCAGTTTAAGAGAGAGAAAAAAAAAAGTCCGGCTGAGTGATGAAACTGGGAAGTAGTTGGTGCTTTGTCCAGCCACGGATTGTTTGAGGAGCAGGAAGCAGAATGCACTTGAATTTTGAAGATGAGACTTGAGACTTCACAGAAATGTTGAAGGAGGGAGCCGGTTGTGCCCGGCAGCCCCTGGTGGGGACGCTCAGAGGGGCTGTGGTGCATCGTGGAGACCAGACCTCCCCAGAACGTCCCCTACCCGCTTGGGGCCGGGCACGGTTTGGGTCCCCTCCTTGCCCTGAAGGAAATGACACAGACTGTACTTGTCATCGGGTGGTCAGCATTCTCAGCTGCAGGTCAGGGGTGACCCGGCGACACCCTGCCCCTGAGCACGTACCACCCAGGGGTCTCGGCTGGTCCTTAGCTGTGGGTCAAGTAGCCTATGGGATAGGTGAGGCTCTGGGGGGGATCCTCTGGTTGGAGGTACCCCCCACCCCCGCCACACCAGATGACTAGAACCGACCTGCGGTTCCCGTAGGGCTGCTGGGGGCGTGATGTGTGTGCAGACACAGCTCCGGGAAGATTCTGAGTGAGACGCTGGTTCCCTCTCTTACCTCTCTTCCGTCACCTGGTCTGTGTGTCGCCCAAATCTGCCCCGTCCTCCACCTGCCACCACCCTGTGGGCGGTCCCCCACTCTGCGTTTGCGCACAGTAGGGCCCAGACAATGCCTCTCGTGGTTCCAGAAGCCGGGCCACGTCCTAACTGCCCTTCGCAGAAAGAGGTGGCGGTGCAGGGCCAGAGTGGCCAGTGGGGACACCCCGCACGGGACCCTCGGCCCCCTTCTTACTGCCGGAGCCGCTCTTGGCCACCCCCCCCCCCACTAAGCTGCCCCCGGGGCTCCCCCAGGCTGTGTGGCCTTCAAGATCGCCGCCCCTCCTTCCCTCCTCACCCGTGACTCCGGGGCCCTGTGCAAAACCGCCACCTTCCCAGATTCTGGGCCTTGGCCAAACGCAGAAGGAAACACGATGCTGCCCCCTGGGACCTTGGGCCGCCTGAGGGTGGGCGATGTGAAAAAAGCTGCTGGGACACCTGGAGGCCACCTGGCCTGGCCTCCCTCCGGGCCTCCACCTCTCCTGCCCTCTCCTCCGTGGCTGGCGAGGGCACCCCCCCCAGTCCGATGTCTGGCTCTCCTCCCCACAGACCGCCCCTGTCCCCTGCTCTATACAACTGCTTTGGCGCCTACATTTGCCTAATCCCCCCCTTGCCCAGTGCTTCCCATCTTCCGTAATGACGCTAATGGACAAAAGAGAACCCGGAGCTTTCCCGTAGCAGGACAGCCGCCCCCAGCTTCCCTGCCCCCGGCCCACCGGCCTGACCTATTGCTGCTACTGCTGCTGCTGGGAATCCAAGTGCATGCTGGGATGTCCGTCAGTTCCTCATGCATTCTGGGTTTGCTTGGGACCGGCCCAAACGGTCGGCCTCTGGTCCACGGCGTGTGCTCCCCCGAGATGACGTGAAGAACCAACCGCGTGGGGAGAGGAGACGCCTGGGGACTTGAGATTTTCCGGGCTACGCCTGGCACAGACCCAGCTCCTGTCCAACCAGACGCTGTCTGCTAGGCCCCAGCAAAAAGCATCCAGAAGAAAGTGCCTTCTCACCAGAGGACTGGCTTTAAGGCGTCGTCTGTTCTTGTGGGTAGCGGGCCCTGAGGCCCAGTAGGGGACGCCCCCAATGACGTCGCGTCCGGAAGGTTGCGTGAACACAGAGAGAGGCACGTCCCAAAGCGGAGCCCCGGGAGCTGGTGGAACCCGTTCACGGCAGACGTTCATGGATCTCCCGGGAAGAGGAGCTCCACGGCCCCTCGGATCCCATTCCCAGGGGACGCAGCCCGGGAGGAAAACCAGCAGGAGGCTTTGGAGTACAAATGCAGAGTTCTCTCCAGCTTCTCAGAAAGATGCAGAAGGACCAGATGAGGCGATTCAGTGCTTACTGTGGCCAGTGGAGGAACATGGCAGGCAAAGGCCAACGACTCCCCAGTCCCGGTCCCGTGAAGACATGGGATCAGGAAGAACAGAAGGGACGAGCATGCCTGGGAAGGAGAGGCCGACGGGCGCCTGCCTGTGCCCCAGGCCGGTGTGGGCGGGCGGTCACTCACTCAATACCCGGAGGGCTGCAGGCGCTGCTCTCTCCCACCACCCAGCCCGGAGCCGCCCCAGACGTGCTGCCTCCCCGGAGTTGCCCACGTTCCGAGCCCTTACGCTCAAAGGAGACTGCGCAGGGGAAATGCTGGGCTGGGTTTCCGTCGCTCCCCCCACCCAAGAGAACAATGCTGGATTCATCTTCACAAGATGCTCTAGGATCTTAGTTACTAAAGGCGAGACCAGTGTCTGCAACCCCCAGAGTTTCCGTGAATCCCGTGCAAACACGCCCCGCTGCCACCCTCTCTCGGTTCCGCCCTCTGCCGACCGCCCACGCACTGCAGCGCCGCACAGTCCTGCCCCGCTCCCGCGGCGCACAGCCACAGAGGAGGCGAGGAGGAGGAAGCGTCCTAACCAAGCTCCAAGCACTTGACTTCTGGTGGCCTTGCTCACCGCTGTGGCGAGCCCGTTCAAACCCCATGGCTTTCTGAATCCCTCACGAGAGAAGGCGTCTTGGAGGAACTCTGTGCACACTCTCGCCAGCGAGAGGCATCTGGCTTTAGAAGCACCGAATCTCTTCACCCGCTGGGCGGCCAGGCTCCGACGCTCCACGGGCCCGTCGAGAACCACATGCATGCACGAGACCCCCGGTGGGCCTTTGGCTTCAGTACTCCAAGACGGCGGCGGCAGCAGCAGCAGCAGCAGCAGCAACGGTGCTTAGGAAATGCAGCCGCCCCTCCTGGGGCTCTGGAGAGCCGCAGGGCTGGCCGGCCGCCCGTCCAGAGGCTGCGGTGCTTGTGAGGCTGGAGGTGCCGGCGGGCGTCCTAATGGTGGCCCTTGGTTTCTTGCAGACATTGATGAGTGCCTCTCAAGCCCTTGTCTGAATGGAGCCACCTGCGTGGATGCCATCGACTCTTTCACATGCTTATGCCTTCCCAGCTACCGAGGGGACCTGTGTGAGACCGGTACGGCCGTCTCGGCTTCAGCTAATGTGACTAACGGCTGCACACTCCCCCCCACCCACCTGCCGGCCTCCTCCCTCACCCTTCCCTTCTAACCACAGGCTCCAGCCCCCTGCTGGGGCCAACTCAGGAGCCACCGGGAGCAGTCTGCCCCGCCCCCCGCCCCCTGCCCCCTGCCCCTCATGCACTCCCACTCCTTCTCTGGCCGTTCCCCGTGAAAACCCACCTCTGGGGCGTGGGCCAGTCTGGCCGCAGGAGAGACGTGCAGCCCAGGCCAGCCTGCGCTTCCGAATGTAGGGCTCTCGGGGGGACCTTGACCACGCTAACCTGCTCCAGGGCTCCCAGGCCGGCTGACGCCGCCGTCCAGGCCGCTGCACACGTCAGACTGAGAGGACCGAGCGCAGTGAGCGCTCCTGTCTGGAAGGAAGCTGTGGGTGGGGGTAGCAATTGGCTCTCACTCCGGATGGTGGCCACGGAGCTTCCTCGTATGGTCAAGGGCATGTGTCATTGCTGCTTCATTGCCTACAGGACCGTGGCTTCAGGGGCCACGGTGCCACGCTGGCCAAGCGGCCGTCCTCTTCTCCCCTGGCACACGCTGCGGTTTGTCTGCCTGAGAGCCCCCCCCACCCCCGCCTCACCAGCATGCTCGGTCACGCATGAACAGGGACCGCTGCATGCCACCTCCTCCTCCTCACCACTGTGACAGCTGCCGGTCAATGCCACTCGGGCCCGCACTTCTTCCCTCCCCTGCGCCAGGCAAAGGGCTGGCCAGAGAGAACAGAGGCTCTTGGCCCGGGGCAGGGGCCGAGTGCGGCCTCCTGGGACTTGCCGGCCCCTCTGCTTCTGCATCTGGGCCGGGCTCTGCCCAGGGGGGCTGCGTGCCAGGCCACGCCCCCAACCCCCTCTCCAGGAGCCCCCAATCCTGGATCCCACCTCGGAGTGGGGGAGGCGAGACTCAGGGTTGCTCGTAGTAGCTGGGGCCCGCACGGAACTGGAAGTATGCAGGGGCTTCAAACTGTTTTTAAGGAACTTTCAGGCTGGACGTGCCAGAAACTTCCAGCCAGCAGCGGAAGCCCTGGGGGCCTAGGCTGTGTGGGGGGCAGGTCTGGATGGCTTGCTCCTGGGAGGCACCGCCGAGGTCACACGCCGGGGGAGGGACTTGAGGCATCTGCAAGAAAAGACCTGAGTCCTCCTCCTCCCTGCTGCCTCCCACGCTCCACTCTCACCCCAAGACCCCAAGACATTGATGCATGGGATCGTGGCTGGGGTGGGAAAAGAGTTATAAGGACTTTCTTCCCAGGGTGCCAACGTATTTGTCATCAGAGAGAAGGATCTGGAAGCTCCCTTACAGACAAGGGCTCTCGGGTGCCAGGCTGGGAGAGGAGGTGCCCTGTGGGAGGGCACGCAGGGCTATCACAGGGCGCCGCATCGGATGGGGCAGGGAGATGGCGCCAGAGCCGCCCAGCTGGCCCTGGGCCTGGTGCCCAGCTACGCAGGGCCGCATCTGTCCTCCCGTTCCAGTCCTGAGCCCCCACCCCCACCCCACGGGTCCTCGTGCCTCAGCTCCCTTCCTCCCGCTGCTCCCAGCCCTCCCAGAATGCCCCAGGGCCTCCATCCCGCACCGCCCGCCCCACCACACCCACACACACACACACAGCCTCCAGCTTTGCCTGCCCAGCTCATCTCAGCCCGCAGACCCTGCTGGGGCCCAAGAACGGCCCCCACAGCCAGCCCCGGGGTGAGATGGGGGCCGCCTTCCTTCTCAGGAGGCCTTGGCCTGAGGGGCCCCCCTGCGGCATCCTCCTTAGACCTCCCGCCGCTCTGCCTCTTTCTCCTCAGCCTGCTGGCCTCCCACTCTGTCCGCTCTTCCCGACTGTGTCTCTTCCAAACCTGCCTCGCCTGCACCCCTGCCCCTCCCCGCTGGGACGGCCAGACTCTCCAGGAGGCGGCCAGGCAGCCTGAGGGGACCACGGCTCTAGGCTCAGCCCTAGGGCCCAGGGGGACAGGGAAGAGAGGGTCCTGGAGTGCCCTCCGCCCGGGGCTGTGCTGGCAGATGTGTGACCGTGGGCTCCAAGGGGCGCCCCGGCCGGTACAACACTCCCACGGGGCCAGCGGAAAGCCTCCGCGGTGCTGTCACCGCGGGTGGAGTTGGAAGGACACTCACATAGTGGCTCTCCCACGCCTGGGCGAGCGGCTGCAGCCTCTGCGTCCTGGCCCCTAGGCTGCCCTGGAGCCCCAGCCAGCGGGTCCTCCAGAGCTCAGAACCCACTGCCAGCGTAGCTCTGGGAGGAGAGAGCCTCCTCCCCGCTGGTCTCCTGCCTCCTAGGAATAAAATACCGGCCGGCCGGGACCCCCGGCGTTGCCGCCTTGCCCTCCAAGGGGTGTGCTCAGCCGGAGCCGCCCCTGATGGACGGACTGAGCTCTGCGTCCTCTCTGGACCCAGAGCAGATGCATTCCTGGTCCTCTGTGCCCACGGCAGGCGCCATTTCTTGCCTCCAGCTCTGCTTGCTGCTGCTGCTGCTGCTGCTGCTGCTGCTGCTGCTGCTGCCGCCGCCTTCACGCACCTCCCCCAAATCCCCTCTCTCCCAGAGACCCCCAGGGACTTCAAACCATGTTTTGCCTTAAAGCTCCACACCTCCCCCCTTCCCACCTCCTTTTTCTCGGCCAGCTGAACTCGGCCAGGCCTGCGGAAAGCTTTGGGGGCAGGGGGTGGGCGGCGTGGCATCCCAGAAAGACAGGGTCCCTGGCATTTCCCACAGGATGGGACAGTCTCTGGGGCTCCAGGGACCAGGCCCAGGCCTCCCTGGCCTCCAGCTCCAGCCTCCATCCAGCGGGGCCTGCCCTCTCCTTTGAGGGCGGGCGTTGGAGGCGGGCAGAATGCGGGCATCGGCGCTGTGCGCGCGTGGCAGCCGCCACCTTCCGCCCTCCGCCCGGCCCCGCCCCTCACGCGCCGGACCTATGTTGCAGACCAGGAGCTGTGCGAGGAGGGCTGGACCAAGTTCCAGGGCCACTGCTACCGCCACTTCCCCGACCGTGAGAGCTGGGTGGACGCCGAGAGCCGCTGTCGCGAGCAGCAGTCCCACCTGAGCAGCATCGTCACGCCCGAGGAGCAGGAGTTTGTCAACAGTGAGCCTGGCGGGGTCTCCAGAGAGGAGAGTGGGTGGGCACACGGGCCAAGGGGGTCGCTGGTCCGGAGCCCACAGGCCTGGACCCAGCGTGGCTGCAGGGGTGGGGGCCAGGAGGGGGGGAGGGCGCTCTGCGGCCTGAGCTCCCTGAGCGAACAGGAAAGAGGAAAGGAGTTTTGGGGACCAAGGAGTTTTGGGGACCCACGGCGCCCAGAACAGCCCCACAGTGCCTGTCACAGCCCCAGAATAACCGGTGGCTGCCACTGGCCCGTGCCAGCTTGGCGAGGGGTTCCGAAGGCGCGGAGACCCCCGTCAGGGCCTCGGAAGGAGGCGGCACGCTCCTCGGAGCCCACCCACGTCCCCCCCCCTCCTCCACCCCCTCTGCCTCCATGAGCCCAAGTCTCTCGGACATCCCCAGGGGGCTCCGGGCCACACCCAACACCCGTGCCCTCTCCGCAGACAACGCCCAAAACTACCAGTGGATCGGCCTAAACGACAGGACCATCGAAGGGGACTTCCGCTGGTCAGATGGGCACTCCTTGGTGAGTTCTGCCAGGGGCTCCGGGCACAGTTGGGCACCCCAATGACGGTGGGGGGGGTGATAAAGACCCCCCAGACAGAGACGCATTCAAACCACATGCAAACCCTCCCCGAGTGAGCAGCTGCGGGACTGGCCCTCGGCGCAGGGAGGGGGTCTGCTGCGTCTTGGGCGTCTCCCTGCCTTCGGCCGCCGGCCCGGGGCTGGGAGAGCTGAGCGACGGAAGGGGAGGGAAGCGGACGGCAAGGAAGGAGCGAGGGCAAGCCACCCCGGGAGCCGTGTGCAAGCGTTAAGGGGGGGGCTCCCTGGAAACAGAGGGCTCGAGGCTGCTCAAGAATGCAGACAGACAGACAGCACCACAGACGCCAGACGGACAACACGCAGAGTGAACGCCGTCTCTCCGTGAAGGACCTCCGGGGAGGCTTCCCCGGAGGGGTGACCACAGCCAGGGTCACGGGCGAGGGATCAGTTACACTACGGGAAAGGGGCGGGTCTGTCATCCCAGGGCCGGGCCAGAGGGAGGAGCCCGGGGAGGCTGGGTACACTCGGCAGCTACGTCTCTGCCACCCCAGTGCTGCCCAAGCCAGGCAGCCTGCGTGCCCACCCCCTGCTGGCCTCTGTGGAGCCGGAGGGATGACACCAGCTCCTTAACAGGGACCGTGACACCTTGTCCTTGCGAGGGGCTGAGAAGGACCACAGCTGGGGCAACCCTGACCAGGCTCCCAGCAGCCTTTGCACCGCTGCCAGAAGACACAGGCGATGGGGGCGGGGCTGGAAAGGGAGGGAAACTGGGGGTCAGCCCCAGCCGTGAGGCCCCTGCCTGCCCTCACTGCTTCCCCCCCCCCCCCCCCGCCCCGGCCCACAGCAATTCGAGAACTGGCGCCCCAACCAGCCCGACAACTTCTTCGCCAGCGGGGAGGACTGCGTGGTGATGATCTGGCATGAGAAGGGCGAGTGGAATGACGTGCCCTGCAACTACCACCTGCCCTTCACCTGCAAAAAGGGCACAGGTGAGGCGGCCTGGGAGGGGCCCGGGGGGCGGAGTCACCACGCTAGGTCCCTGCTGTGTGAGGGGATGAGGGCCAGCCACCTTGTCTCCTGGCTGCGGATGTCACCTCACCGCCGCCCAGCAGACCGGAGCCGTTCGGGGGTGGGGGGGGCGTCTCCCACAGCCGGCCTCCCCGGCAAGGGCAAGTCCCCTCTGGGGACCATCCGGGTCCCATCATCCCCCGAACCAGGATGTTTAGACGGTGTGCCTGGCTCTCGCCCTCTTTCCCTGCCTTCCCTGCCTCCCTCCCTCCTTTTCTTTTCCTCCTCTCCGTAAGACCCTCCTTGCATTCCCTTCCGGCTGCTCTAAGTCGGCCGGCAGCCCAGCCGGCCTCCGGACTCTGAGCGCGGCCTGCCAACGCCCCTCGGTCGGCAGCCGGGGCTCACGGCCGGGTGTCCCGGCTCCAGGCTGTCTCACCGCAGCCGGAGGGGGCCAGACACTGGCTCGTCCTCATGGGCAGGGGCGATCACAGGAGACCCCCCTCCCCCCAAGGCCCCTCTCTGAAGGCTGTCCGCCCCGCAGTGGCCTGCGGAGACCCCCCCGTGGTGGAGCACGCCAGGACGTTCGGGCAGAAGAAGGACCGCTACGAGATCAACTCGCTGGTGCGGTACCAGTGCACAGAGGGCTTCGTCCAGCGCCACGTGCCCACCGTCCGGTGCCTGCCCAGCGGGCACTGGGAGGAGCCTCGGATCACCTGCACAGACCGTGAGCATCATCCCTACCGCCCCCTGCTGGGCGGGGCCCAGCATTACAGCCCACCCTCCTGTCCCCCCTCCCCAGAGTACCTGGGGGGTCCTAAACCCACACGGGCAGCACCGTCTGTGGACAAGGTCACCTGTCACTGCGCCCCTGGCCCCCCAAGGAAGGAGAAAGCAGGCAGCCCACTTTCCTTTCCAACACCCGCCCGAAGCCCCTTAGCCCAAGTCGGTTCAAGAGCAATCAAAAGCAGGAGGCAAGCCCTGGCTGGCGTAGCTCAGTGGATTGAGCACGGGCTGCAAACCAAAGTGTCGCAGGTTCGATTCCCAGTCAGGGTACATGCCTGGGTTGCAGGCCATGACCCCCAGCAACCACACATTGATGTCTCTCTCTCTCTCCCTCCCTTCCCTCTCTAAAAATAAATAAATAAAATCTTAAAAAAAAACCCAAAAAAACAGGAGGCAGAGAAAGAAAAAAGCCTCAGGCTGCCTCCACTAGCCCAGGTTCCCGCAGGGAGGGCGGCCCGCACAGAAGGGGCCAGACGGGTGGGGCGAGGCTGGGCCGGCCTGCTCCATCCCAGGGCTCACGGAGACCGTTCTCTCTCCCCCCTCCCAGCCGCCGCCTACAAGCGCAGGCTACAGAAGCGTAGCTCCCGGCCGCCCCGGAGGAGCCGCCCCAGCGGGGCCCACTGAGAGGAGCGCCCAGGGGGGACGCGCCCAGGATGCTGAGCCCAGTGGCCTCTCCAGCCCGACGCCCCACTCGGACGGTGTCCCCTTCCTGCCGCTTTCTGCCGTATAAGGAATTCCATTAAAGAAGGACGAGATTCAATCCCACACTGTGTACGCACCCAACGACCCACCCGCCCGCCACACCCCCCCAATTGCCAAGCATCTGACTTTCCCCCCAAATGCCAAAGCCGAGCCAACGTATTGTACCCCGAGGACCGAGTCTAGAGACGTTTCTTCATTCTCCCGATGTGCCTTTCCGGGGACCAGTGCAGGGACAGGGGGAGCAGGGAGGGGTTAAGTTAAATAAAGAAGATTATTTTTTGTTTGCTGACTTTATCGAAGAGCAGTGCAATCGTCGGTTCTTTGGCCTCCAGGGAGAGCTAGGGAGGAGGGAGGAGGGGGCAGGCGCAGCTGGAAGGGGCGGAGGCCCAGGGCGTGAAGAACTGGGGACCACAGCTGAATGTACGGGAGGAGGAAGGCCGCGGCCTCCGCATGGGGAGGCGCCAGGGGGCGGGCGGGCGGGTGGGTGGGCAGGAGAGCGCCATGGAGGACTCTTTCACCCTCCCAGGGGTCCAGCTCCCTCCAAGGGTCCCTCTTCCAGGTCCTCTCACCCGGGCTGCCACCCTGACAGGTGTCATCGCTCTCGGCAGGGCTGGGTGGGGGGACACTCCCTTCCCTGTGGGAGGGCCGCCCGCCCACCCCCTCCCCTCCCCCACCCCCCGGGACCGTGCAGGCACCAGGGTTCCGTGCACCTATTTATATTTTTGAAAATTGAAGATGATGATGATTATAATAATAAAGACATTGGAAGAGATCTATTTCTTTTCCCTTCTTTTTTTTTTCTTAATTTTTATTTTATTTAAGGAGAGGGTCACCATGGTCTAGGGTCGACAAAAGGGGTCCTTAGGAATGGTGGCTGTGGAGACAGGTTTCGATCAACTAACCCCAAGCTGGTGTGAATCCCGGCCGTTCAGAGAGCCCGGGGCAGCCACCTCTGGTGCGCTTTCATTTTATGAGGGTGCAGGTGGGTTTGATGGAGTGTGTGTGTGTGTGTGTGTGTGTGAGTGTGACAGTCGCCGGGCCACTGGGTGTCAGTCACACTTCGCCCCCATGGAGGTGAGCCCCGCAGTGCGGGGCAGAGGAGGGCTGGGGTGGAGGAGAGGTTCACAGCACCAGGCACAGTCCGGTCAAGCCCACAGACCGAACTGGGAACAACACACAGACTCTTTCCACCGAGAGCAGGGGGGGAGGACAGGGGCGTCCGCCCCCCTTCCCCGGGATCTCACACAGACGCCTGCGGCCCCCACCTCCTCAGACGGGCAGGGGACTGCTACAAGGCTCAAAGCCCAGCCCCGAGTCCCTGCATGTCCTCTCCCCACCCCACCCCCGGGGGCTGAGGTGGAGTGAGAGCTGCAGCCACCGTGCCCTGGCCCCCGTGTCCCTGCCCCTCTGGACACCAGCCTCCCCGGGGCAGGGAGAGGGGCTGGACCAGTGACAGCAGAGAGTCCTCGCGAGCCCACGCAGCTCACACGTGCCACAGGACACGGGCAGGATGATCCCCGGCCCCGGGGGAGCCTTGGGGTGTCCACCGGAGCAAAGGGAGACTTGGGGATCTGTTGGACTTATACAAATAGTAAATTTTTGTTTAAATTTTAAGTTGAGAAGTATAAAAACCATCGGAAAATTGCTCCCCCCCCCCACCAATAGGGAAAATGAGCCACCCAATAAACACAGCCCGTGAGGCTTGGGCCCTAGCCAGTGCGGTAACAGCAGACCCTGTACTTGCAGCTCTGAACGTCTGGGGAGCCAAAGCTCCGGACGCCCGGCTCCAGGGGCCTGCAGGTGGGCGTGGGCGGACCACAGGGTAGCGGGCACCGCCGTCGGCCGGCCAGCCCGCGTCGCAGCGGTCCAGGCCACGGAACTTCCAGGCGGCGAAGAGCTGGCCCACCTGGGCGATCTGGGCGCCGTCCTCCCAGCAGGCCACCTTCGCCTCCCGGAGGGTCAGCCTCTCTGGGTGCTCCAGGTAGGACACCTGCCCAGTGGGAGGGCGGCGTGGGAGGGCTAGGGACCGCCGCAGAGGACAGCTGGGTCTGCAGCCAGGTCAGCCCGGCCAGACATCAGCAAGCAGACCCTTGAAGATCTGTCTGTGCCCAGGGAGCCACCATGCTGTGGACATCGGCTCGGACATTTTGAGGGGCACCTTCCCACGCCTCACCCTCTCTGAGAGCTTCCTCCCACCTGCCACGGGGCGGGGGGTGGGGGGCCCTCCTGTCATGTCTGAACTCCCCCACCCCTTCCGTCATTGCACTCTAGGGGGCGCCCCGTGCAGCCTGGACCAATCAGCGTCTCCAGCTGGCCTAATCTTTGCCGGAGAACCTAGATGTGTCCGGGAGTTTTCTAGATGCTCAGGTATGGCTCTGAATCACTTTCTGTTTTCCCTTGACTGTCTTCCCATGGAATGAGCCGCTTCTGAGGGCAGACTGGGTTTTATTTGTCTATGACGCCCAGGGCCCACCCCGCCCAGGCCCCAGCCGTGCACAGGAGCTCAGGGGCGCTCGCTGAATGAGTAAACGGATGATTGGCGTGAACAGCAGCATCCAAGCCCTCAAACGCAGCCACACGTGCTTCCACATCTGCAGTGCTGCAGGCGGAGGTGCCCCAGGGCAGGAAGAGGGGGCTCAAAGCTCCCCACACCCACCCACAGGCTGTGCTCAGCCACCCCACTCACCCTTGAGGGCGGTGGCGAAACAGAACACGTCGTAGCAGTGCGGGCGGCGGTGGCGCAGCCGTAATTTGTTTAGCCCCGGCTGGTGTGGCTCAGTGGATTGAGTGCCAGCCTGCGAACCAAAGGATCACTGGTTGGATTCCCAGTCAGGGCACGTGCCTGGGTTGTGGGTCGGGTCCCCAGTAGGGGGTGCTGACTTTCTCTCCCTTTCTCCCTCCCTTCCTCGCTCTCTAAAAATAAATAAATAAAATCTTTAAAACATGTTTTTTTTAAAAAGCTCCTGCCCCAAGCTATGAAGCTGGGAAGAGGCAAAATTAAGATTCAAACTCACGTCTGTCTAACCCCAAAGCCCCTTGGCACTGGGGAGAGACCAGGGGAGGTCACCTTTTTAGGCTGGATCCTGACTAAGGGGCAGCACTTGGGGAAGAAGTGAAAGAAGTGATCGTCCTTAAGTGCACCGGGGTCCATCGGAGGGGCCGGCAAGCACAGAGTCCCTGAACCATCGCTTCCACTCGCCTTAGGGGTGAGGCTGGTCTGCCACAGGGGCCCAGATGGGGAAACGGAGGCTGGCTCCATGCCCAGTCCCCTCATCCCGGCCTGGAACCTGCATTTCACCGAGGGAACCAGGGCACGTCTTGCTCACCCTTCGAAGCAAAGAGCCAGACCGGGGAGGCCACCCACCTTCGCCATGTCCGGGCCGTGGGGACAGTGGGAGTAGTAGAAGCCGTGGTAGAAGGGCAGGCTGGAGGGCAGGGGAGCCAGAGCAGCGGGCCCAAGAGCAGCGGGCCCACGGCATTGCACACAGGGGCAGTGCCAGTGCGTCCTGGGCAGGGCTGTGGCCCAGCAAGCAGGAAAGAAGAGAAAAATAGGCCAATTAGCCCTGGCTGGTGTGGCTCAGTGGATTGAGCACCAGCCTGTGAACCAAAAGGTTGCTGGTTCAATTCCCAGTCAGGGCACATGCCTGGGTTGCAGGCCAGGTCCCCAGTAGGGGGCGCATGAGAGGCAACCACACATTGAATTGATGTCTCTCTCCTTCTCTTTCTCCCTCCCTTCTCCTCTAAAAATAATAAATAAAATTTTTTAAAAAACAATCTGACCCTAGGGTGAAGTCATCTTCTTCTTAAGACAGGGGACAGTCTTCACAACTTCATCTGACTCCTAGTTCTTTTTTTTTTTAACCTCACCTGAGGATGTGTTTATTGATTTTAGAAAGAGGAAAGGATGGGGAGAGAGACACACACACACGCAAACATCGATGTGAGAGAGAAACATCGATCGCTCACCTCCCAGATGCCCTGACTGGGGATCGAACCTGTGTATGGGACGACTCTCTGACCAACTGAGCCACCCGGCCGGGGCCTGCCTCGTAGTGTTACCAGAAAACTTTATGTTGTTGAATTCTATGAAGCAGCTAAACAAGGCATGCAGGCGTCCTGCCCTCTGCAGATACATGGCATCCGTGAGCCAGGATGGCGAGAGTCTGGGTATCGAGAGTTGGGAGAATTCGGGAGAAGGAGATGCGGTACTGTGCGATCTATTTCGTTCCTGAGTTCTGGGTGGTGGCCAGCAAGAGTCTGTACAGTGAGGGACACCTGTCGTCACAGTAAAGAAAGGTATCTCCAGGACTCCTGAGTCACCATTTACCTTAAGAAATTCACACATCACTAAGGCTTGACGATCTTAAATTGCGAGCAGTCTTGTCGCAGTCACGCCATGACATGTGGTGCTGGGGAAAGTAGCCACTGGACCGGTGTCATTCCATGCTATCCTGACACTGGCCCCCTGTCATTCTCACCAGTCCCGAGGGAGGTAATTCACGGCTCAGCAACATGCCCTGGTGTCCTCCAGCAGTTCCCTCAGTCAAGGAGAATTTTACTCTCCCCGCTTAACCCACAGGTGAACAGAGGCACAGAGACGTGGAGCCACCACGCCAAGGCCACACAGCCAGGAGGCAGGAGAGGCAGGACTGGGTCCGGCATTTTGCAGCCAGCCGCCCACAGCGACCTGTCATATTGCTTCCTGCTTATCGACGCACCTTCATGGATGTCACCGCCCAGGAACCTCGAAACGCAACAGTTATTATTCCCATTGTACAGACAAGAAGACTGAGGTTCAGAAATACTAGGTTGCTTGGCCGCCTGGATTAGGTTTTGGCTCCACCCACTTACTAAGAGTCTGCCCGGGGCTTGAGTCACTGAGCCTCACTTTCCTGGTCTGACGATGGGAGTCGTGACAATAACCACCAGGAAATAAGTGTGTGAAGGTTAAGGGAGGGCGGGTCTGCAGAGTCATAGACTACCACCAGGTAGGGCGGGGGCAGCACTCAACAACAATAGTCACGTTACTGTGGGGAACAGGTTACAAAGTGAGCTTTCTCTCACTTTCTCCTCTCTGCTTGTCTGGGAGAGAAAGCAATTCCCTTCTTTACAGGTGGGGAAACTGAGGCCAAGGCCTTGCCTTTGGCAAATAGATGGAAGTGAGAGAAAACTGAGGTCTCCTGATGGACCAGCCTTCTTTGCTTTTCCCAGCGCTACTCGTCTGGGGACCCCTCCACACACCAGAATAAGCTGCACCCCAACTTGGAAGAAAGACCGAACCCCACCAGCCTTCAAGTTCCCCGGACACCAGCAGAGGGCAGCATTGCCCTTCGGGTGTTCAGCAGTGGGGAGGAATTTGACCTCGGAGACCCAGTTTAGACAAGGCTTACCAGAACCTTTGAAACCTGCGGCCCCGGGAAAGTGGAAACCGCAAAGCAGAGGCCGGAGGTGACTCCTACCAGCCTTCCCAGCCCGCTGGGCCATGCAGGGCCCGGAGAGGGGCCATGGCGCCCCTCCATCACCGGCCCCTGCAGCAGAGAGCAGGCGCACCCCCGAGGGTCAGCGCTGGCGACCGCCGTCCGGGCCGGGTCACAGGCTGGCCACAGAGCTGAAGGGAGTCCAATGACCCTGCTGTTTCCTCCTGGCTGCTCACAAGCCTGGAATTTCTCCCAGAGCGACCCATATTCCACCCAGGCCTCTACCCTCCGTCCTTCCTTCCCCTTCCGGTCTCACTGTCCCCAGGGCAGAAACCCCAGAGGACTGAGGCCTGAAACCACGGGCACCCAATGCATTTGCGCTGGGAGTGCAGGTCCGCCCGCCCGCGGGGTGTCCCCAGTGTGGCCCCGACTGAGCGTCGGACGGATGCCCCGGGTCAGAGCCAGCCCAGGGCGCGCTGTGCGGGCGGCTGCAGGACCCCGACGGGACCAGACGCGATGGAAGGAGTCAGGCGGCCCCCAGCGGGGAGGGGGCTGGACCCGGGCGGTGGTCTCAGAGGCCCCAGGACGCGCCCTGGCGGTGCCTCCTCGCGGTGCGCACGCGGCACAGCTCTCACCTCACTTGCGCCCCGGGCGCCCCCGCCGGTTTCTGCAGCCAAGAGCCTCTCAGCCCTCTCGCCTGGCCACTACCCCAGGAGGCATGCGGTCTGCGGGAGCCCCGAAGGCGGGAGGGAGGAACGCACTGTCCCCGCACAGCTCCTCAATACCCCAAGGGCTCAGGGGGCTTGGGTTTGGGGACGCGGGCTAGCCGGATTAGAGGAAACAGGAGGATTGGGGTCCTCGAATGGCCAGAAAGGAAGCGGCTGAGGACAACCCACCCACCCCCCCACCCCAGCTCCCGCCGGGCCTGCCCCTTAAAGGAACACACGCCCCTTTCCCTACGAGGGTTGGGTCCAAAGGGAGGAGGTGCCACGGCCTTGAGCATGCTCCAGGCTGCAGACCAGCTGGGGACCACGCGCACACTGCGAGGCTGCTGGCAGAGGTGCGAAGGGAGTGTCCAGGAGCTGAGGCCGTCACATCTTGGGGAAGGAGGTGAGTGGGGGAATGGAGAATTTGAGGGGGCAAATCCCATTAGGATGCTCTGGTTTGCCCTAAACAGTGGGACTAAGCCGGGACAGCCCTCTGCAGGTGAACGAGGAGGAGGGAGGGTTCTGTATGCCTGCCTTTCCCCACTCGAGACTGGCCATCCTGAAAACGCCAGCCAGACCCTTCCGTGTCGGACACAGAGATGCTCCCCCTCGTGGGTAGGTGGAGCTTGACTCAGTGGCCCTGGAGTCAGGAGAGACACAGGCATCTGGGCAGCCACCTCCCAGGACGCCTGTCTGAACAGGGTGTTTTCTTTCCTGTCCAGACCCACAGGGGTCCCGGGCCGGGCAGTTTCCTCAGCAAAAAAGCCTAAAGCGAGCCATGGGGTCACTGAGCCCAGAGAATCCTCCTAAACACGCCAACACAGCTCCACGCACGTGCTGCCTTCCTGTGTGCGATGCGCATGCGCGGCCGGGAGCCAATCAGAGCAGAGCTTCGGGGACTGGCGACGGGCCAGCGCGCAGAGAAGCCGGGCTTGATGGGAGCCCAGGAAGAGATGACCGACCGCGATGTGCAGGATGGATTGGAAAGGGGGTAAGAAGTACCACCTAGGACACCTTTTTTTTTTAAGATTTTATTTATTTTATTTTTAGAGAGGGAAGGGAAGGAGAGAAAGAGAGAGAGAAACATCAATGCGCGGTTTGCTGGGGGCCGTGGCCTGCAACCCAGGCATGTGCCCTGACTGGGAATCGAACCTGCGATGCCTGGTTTACAACCCGCGCTCAATCCACTGAGCTACGCCAGCCAGGGCCCAACTAGGTCACTCTTATAAGCATCTCTGAGAGGGCCGGCTTCGCCTAGGTGCTGTTCCTCCTATTATTTTTGAGGCTTTGGGGATTTCAGTAGATTGTCAAAGGTCATTCCGAGCCAGGCTGTCCAACTTCCGGCCGGGCCCCCTAATCACCCCACTACATTTAAACCAGGACGGGAAAGGAGACTGGGCTCGGGGGAAGGGCAGGTCAACCAGCTGGCGGCCACAGGTGCAGGGAGAGGGATGGACGGCCAGGGGAAGCCAGCTTTGTCACAGCAGAGTTTAATGTGCCAGCTGGAGGCGGCGCTGGCCAGCAGGTGCATTCTCAGAGCTGGCCTTGGCAACTGCAGATGGGAATTAAAAAAAAAAGGGAATTCGTGGAGGTGATCTGTTAGTGCAGGAGGCTGCCTGGGGAGAGGAGCCGAGGACAGGAGGGCGGAGGGGGAGGGGAGCCCGGTCCAGGTTCCCCCCTCCAAGGCAGCGAACGTGAGCGGGAGGAGGGCCTGAAAGGTGGCGCAGGCTATTCCAGAGTCCCTGCGGGTCTCCGCAAGCACTGCCCACCAGCCCACATGGCCGGTCGCCCGGTGAGACGGGCCGCAGAAAACCTCCAACACCACAGGGACAGGGGCACACGGACAGATGGGAGTGACGCCGGTTCCCCTTCGCAGGTGAGACTCCCGGGTTCTCTCCAGGATGCAGCCAGAACTGTCCCGGGGCAGAGCTTCGGGGCGAGGTGCCCCCGCCGCGGTGTGCTGGTTGGTGCCCAGGGGAGGCAGAGCAGGGCTGGGGTGGGGACGCTCCCTGGAGGGAGTCCTGCGGCCAGCGGCCATCCAGAAAGGCTGACTCTGAACCGTGCAGCCCCACAGAGAGCGAGCTCTGAAACTGGAAAGGGTGGGCCCAGGCCCCCCGCCCCCCTCCGGTCTTTGCAGACCTCTTCCATCCCTTCTTCCATCCCTGCCCAGCAAAGGAGCCCTGGCAAGGGTGGTTCTCTGGAAGGAATCGCCTCCAGACAGATTCCCCTGGTGGGGCTCCAACACCCTCCACCACACCCTCCCTTTGGCAGGTGGCTGGTGTATATCAGGGCGTGGCTCCCAAAGTTTGTCCCTGAAAATTTGCCTGTGTCCCAAGGCCTGGAATGCTAGGGGGTCTCATTTGCCCCTTTTCCAGCTCATTGGTATCCCCACTATAAGACTCCCCTTCCCCAGATTACCAGGCACCAGCCTGCACACCCCCCTGCCCATAGCCACATCCTGGTGGCCCCGGCCTGGGGGAGGGCTGGAGGGGACCCCTGGGGCGTTTCTCCCTGTCACAGAGCGAATATGCCGACCTCTCAGAACCAGCACCCTCAGCCAGGAGGCCCTGCGCCCACTCAGCAGAGTGCTGCCCACCCCCACCCCCATGGGGTCCCCCAGGAGCCTCCTCCTTCCTCCAGCTGTTAAACTGTCTGTAGTCTGGCAGCTGATGAGACCTCGGGGGCTGTGGGAGGACAGAGGATGGAGGGCGGGGGGCCAGCACAAAACAAAGCCCATTTCAACACAGCGACAATGGACCACACAGCAAGTGCTCTGGGGAGTGACATAAATATATTTTGGAAGCTGCCAGTGCGCTCGGACCCCGGTGCCCACCCACGCCTCTCCACAGACCCGCTCCACCCCCTTCTGTCTTTCCGGGCTGCGGCACAGGGGTCAGAGGGGCCTCTAGGGAGATGGGGTGGGAGTGGCCTCGGGCCAGGCAGAGCACAGAGAGTGGCAGCGTCACCCCTCAGGGCTGGGTGGGAGGGCTGTTATCTCCAGCCTGGCCCCTCAGGGCCTTCCCGCAGGGCCAGGGGGACCGGAGTGGGGGTGGGGTGGGCTATGGAGGACACAGAGGTGCAGGCAGCCCACACCCCGGCCTCGCTCTTCCCTGTCCGTCCCAGACCTACTACTCCGCTCCCACAGCGTGTGGGCTGGGCGCCGAGGGCAGGTGGGAGGTGAGGTGTGAGGACAGAGGGAGGGACAGGTGACCGGGGCCCCCGCCAGGCACTACAATCAGGAGGGGGGTGGGTGGAGGAGGGGGCAGCAGGTCCACAGAAGGTCAGGGGGCGGGAAGGGGCAGCTGCCCCGGCCACCGGAGCCAGAGCCACTAACAGCCCAGCAGCTCCACGCGCAGGGTGATGCGGTTGTGCCAGGACACGGGCAGGATGCGCACGAAGCGGGCCAGGAAGGGCGTCTCAAACACGTTCTTCTTGTGGGAGTTGTTGTCCAGGTTGCCTGGGAAGACCTGGGGGCGGAGAGGGCGTCAGGAGGACCCCCGAGCGGGCCCGCCCACCCAGAGTCCCAGGCCCGACGCGCAGGGCACCCCCCGGCGTGGCGCGGGGCGGGCGGCAGACAGACACTCACCTTGCTCTCTTCGGCCCCCTCGTCCTTGTACTCGGTCCAGGTCAAGCCATCGTCACTGTGGGCCACCTTGTAGGCTGCCACATACTGGATGTGGCCGAAGTCTCGGGCCCCCTGCGTGATGATGCCGGTCACTTGTTTCTGGGAGCCCAAGTCGATCTACAGAGAAAACAAAACAAACAAAAAAACCTGCATTTTCTTTGCTTGGACCCTTTCCAGTGCAGTGGGAAAAGGCAGACACCCAGAGACGTGAACTGTAGTTTGGGAAAGGCTACTTCACTTGGCAGGGCCTCAGTTTCCTCATCAATAAAATGGGCATAAATACCACCGACTGTCGGACCAGACACAGTGAGGCAATGTGGGGCAGCGGAGCTCCGGCTTCGGAGCCGGGGCCCTGGCCAACCCCCCCTGCCCCCGAGGCCCCCTGCAGGAAGCCGGCTCCACAGGCTGATGCTGTGTTCCTTGGGGCCCAGAGACAGACGCTCTGGCCCCAGTCCCTGACCGCCCTGGGCGGCCAGCCACCAGCCCCTGCGCACGCAGGGCAGCCTCGAGGCCCAGGGGGCAAACTCAACGCACCGCCAAGCAGCAGGTGAGCCGGGCAGGTCCTCACCCCGCCAGGACCCGGCTTCCTCCCGTGGAACCCGAGTGGAACCCCTGGGGTTCCGAGATTCGCTTGTGTTTCCCAGTGTAGGCCGAGGGCTGTCCCCTGGGGTGCCTCAGACACCGAGTCAGAGAGCACGTGCTCTGTGCTCCGGCAGAGAGGTCCCGAGGTGCCTGTCTCAGGTGTCCCTCCTCCACCCGGGCCTGCTGTCTGTCCGTGGGCCTGGCCTTGTCACCCTGTGCTGGCCAGGGGAGGTGGCTCCCCCTGACACACACACACTCACACGCCCTTCCTCCATCCAAAGCAGCACTCAGCATCCCCCTCCGCCTTGGAATTACTTGGAATTACAGAATCGGGAGGAAGGTGGGGCACTTGGCAGGAAGAAAGGGAAAAAACAAGGCTTTTCGGAAATTCCCTCGTGGGGAACAGAAGCCTGGGCTGTGAGGAGGTCAAAGGCCAGGCGGCCTCACCCGATCCCGCCCAAGGGGCCCGGCCCACCTGCAGCCACTCGGAGGCCGAGTTTCTCTCCGCAGTCCAGGCGTTGAACTTGCCCTGCTTGTCCAGCCGCGCGTAGAAGGGGTACCAGCTGAAGGAGTTCACGCCCCAGGTCTTGTAGGTGCTGGAGGCCGTGATCTGCCCGTCGGAGATGGTGTAGTCCTTCAGGCCCAGGGGCTCGGAGCATCCTGCCAACAGGGGGCTGTCACTCAGATCTGGGGTCCACGGCCCCCCAGGGGCGTGAGCACAAGGCGACGCGGGAGAGAGAGCTGTGTGGATCCGACCGGCCCCTGACATCCTCTCGGACGACAGCCAGAAGTGCCTGCGTTTTAGAGCCAAACCACCCTCCTTCCTCACTGCCCGCCCCACCCGCTGCTCCCCCTAGCCGGCTGCCCTCAGCTCCCACCCCCACCGCCTGACATGTCTCCTTGGCACCAGGGCAGGCCCTGATCCACCGCTTCCTACCCTCCTTCAAGGCCTGACTTGTGAGACACCTCCTCCAAGAAGCCTGCCCTGACCACCTCCCTTGGGCAGGACTCGTCCCTCCTCTGGACAGATGGCATGTCCTCCATCGCTCCTACAGTACTGCTGAGTCCTGGGACTGTCGTCCAGCACGTGAAGAACAACCCTCTCATGGACTCAGTGCTTACTTCAGTCATTTTTATCTACCACCCAGAGACCTGAACAAAGAGATTGGCACCCCCGTTTACCAGATGAGAACACTGAGGCCGAGAGACAGACGCTGTGCCAGGTCACACACACGAACCCCTGATCGCCACACTGTGACATCACCTCCACACCGTCCACACGCCCACCCAGGGCCATGCTGCCTAGTGGAGGCCCATCGGAGAGCGCGGCTCCAGCAGGCGGACGGAAGTCAGAGCCGGAAGGACCCCCCACCCCTGCCACCTTCATTCTGGTCTTCACCACGCTGCTGTCTGTGTCTCTGGCTTTCTTTTCTTCTTCTTTTTCCTTTTCTTTCCTTCCTTCTTCTTTTTTTTTTTTTACTTAATCCCTTAACCTTTTGCACCCAGAAGGCAATTCCTTAACTTCCCACTTAAATGATTAGGCTCAAAATGTTGGCAGTGACCCTTGGAGCTCATACTATAAAACATAAAAAGACTCAACCCAGCCAGGCACACAGAACTCGGCTCTGAGGGCTCCTGGGTGGTGTGGGAAGTGGGAGACCAGGAAGAAGGGCCTCGGGGGGCAAAGGGGGCACAGAGGGTGGGTCTTGGTAAGATGAGCAAGGCAGAGTGCGATCTCCACTCTGCAGTCTGCCCTCCAGTTCCGCCAGTGGCCAGCAGGTGGCACTGTGGCCGCAGAAAGAGGGAGCTGCTTCGTAGCTGGCAGCTGGCACCCTGACCACCCGCCCCCCACCCCCACCCCGACCCTCCCACCCGGTGAGTTTTTTTCCTGGCTCACAGGAAACCTGTCCCTTTCTGGTCCCCCATTCCTCTCTCTGGTGCTGTCTCTGGCCACGGCAGTAGGAAGCGCCAGCTCCAGCCCTACGACCCTGGAAGCCCCATGGTTCTCTTCCATGCAGGCAACAGGAGGTTGGGGGCAGGGAGAGGAGCAAAGAACCAGATGGGTGGGTGTTCGAAGCCCTGGGATCTATACCAAGTTTTAATACCTACAAGCTGCGCGCCCTTGATACATAATTTATCTGGGCCCCGCCACCCTCACTCACTCACCAAGCATTTACCCGGGCTCTGGGAATGACGGCCAGCCCGGCCCCCTGCTCCCCTGGAGCTGACATCTGCCCGGCGGCAGCACGAACCCTACACGCTCCAGGAGCTCGGGGCGCCGATGAGGATAAGTGAAAAAATACTTCGAAAACGGAGGCGGCGTCTCTCTTGCTCTCTACCCACCGGAATGCCGTGGGTCGGCAGAGAGAGAGCGCCTGGGCAGGGCTGGGGGTCCCTCTGGGGTGCTGGGGCCGGCTGAGAAGGGAGGCCGTGCCCGAGGCTGGACCACAGCCCCCCCGCCCCCGGCCGCCCGCACTCACCGTTCAACTCACAGCCGAGGAGCTCGAAGCGCAGGGTGCAGCTCCAGTGGCAGGTCACCGGCACCAGCCGCACGTACTGCGCCTCCAGGGGGGCGTCCAGCATGTTGGTCCTCAGGCCGTTGTTGTCCACGTTGCCCACAAATATCTGGGAGGAGGACGAGGTGGGTTGGGGGAACGGTCAGTGTGGGCAGGCCCCTTCGCCTCTGGCCCGAGGGGCGGGGGAGGGGGCCGAGCAGAACCACCGGGGGGCTCGGCCCGCCTCTTGCCCCCACCTGATATCCTCAACAACCCAGGGTCCCCTGGCCACACCTTCCCGGGCCATCGGTGCCTGGGCATAAACTACCCTCTCTGTCACACGGGGCCACCTGCAAGTCACAGGGTGCCTCTGTGCAGATCAGGAAAAGGCACTTGACTGTGACGATTTTCCCACAACACATGACGTCTACGCTGGGAATGGTGCTCGCCTGCTTGCGGCGTCCTGGCGCTGGGTGTGAGCTGCACCTCTGTGCTCGGGGGCCCCTGCAGGCTCAGCCCACACCCCAGCCCCACCCCCCCACCCCCAGCCACGCTTGATGGGCCTCTGAAGCCTTCTGAGGCTCACGATCCCCATCGATAAAGTGGGGTCATTACTTGTAACCACAACTCACGGAACAGTCTGGGCTTCCCTGTCTCTGGGGGACCAGGCTGCACCTGAAGAGCCAGCTCACGGCCATCCACCCAGGGCACCCTCGCCCTGCTGGGGGCCCTCAAACAACGCCGCAGCCCCAGGCACGCTGACCACAGTCCCTCCTTAGGGCCCATGTGGCCTCACCTTGTCTCCAAAGCCCCCGTCCGCCTGGACGAACTCGAACTTCCTCCCGTTGAGGCTGTACGCCACCTTGAAAGTCTTCACGAACTCGGCGCTGCCCGCGCGGCTGGCGCCCTGCGTCACCACGCCTGTCACCCGCATCTTCCGCATCAGGTTCACCTGGACCCAGACGGGCGGGCGGACAGGACACTTACAGCTCCCTCGTCCCCTGTACCCCCTCCCCTGCCCCACCCGGAGAAGGGACAAAGCAGGCAGGACAAGGGACGGAAGCCTTCCCATCCCGCCCCCGCAGGGCTGTGGACCCAGGGCTCCGGGAAGCACCTGAGGACAAACGAGGCCCCTGTCCCCGCCCCGGAGAACTCGCCCAGTGCAGACAGGCCCTGCACAGCCTGGGTCCGCCCCCCGCCCCCCACCCACCCACCCATTCCAGGCACCCCCAGGCTGCCCTCCACCAGACACTTCATCTGAGGGAACCTGCTTGCTCCCTTGCTACGGGGACCCCCATATGAACCCTCCCATGGTGGCCCCCAAAGGCAGGCACGCCGTTGCCCCTGCTCCCCTCCCACGGTGCCACCCGCTCCGGGGCTGTCCCCTCCTCACCTGGATCCAGGGCTTCTTATCGTAGTTGCTGGCCGTCCAGGCGTTGACGATGCCCGAGCGGTGCAGGCGGGCCAGCTCCGGGGCCCAGCGCTGCAGACCCATGAAGCCCAAGAGCATGGACGAGGCGGAGATCTGCCAGTTGGCGATGGCCCCGGTCTCCATGCCCAGCGGCATTCTGCAGACTGCAGGGAGGGAGGGGGGTGGCAGTCGGCCGGCCCCCCGAGCAGGTGGCGCCCGGAGGACAAGAGATGCAGACGGTGGGGCCCCCGCTGAGGGCCCAGAGCAGAGAGCACAGAGGGACACGGTGGCCCCAGAGGAGACCCCAGGAGGAGGCGGTGAGGGGGAGGGCGGCGGGCAGAGTCACGGGGGTAGGACCCAGGCCTGTACACATGATGCGGCTGTGACAGCAGCCTCCCGCCAGGAGGGCCACCAAGCCCAGCCCCGCCCTGGCTGCCCAGGTTGGCCCTGGGAGGAGGGGCCCCTCAGTAAGGCCATAAGCACATCTGTGTGGGGTTTTCTAGAATCCCACACGGCAGGGGTTTCCTGGGTGGGGCGTGAAAGCCATCCTGTGTTGTCTCGGACGCCCCTGCCCTGTCCGCCTGCCGGTCCTGACCCAGCCACTGGGAAGCTGCCCCAACCAAGGCCCCTGTCACCTTCACCATCACCCTGGCAATGCGGTGGGGGGGGCGGGGGGAGCCATTCTCCTGGCCCCCAGGCAGAGAACCCAGCAGCAGTGGCAGATCGCCCCCCTGCCCTCCCCGGGCTCGCGCAGGGGCAGTGAGGTGTGAGTGGGGCCGGATGCCGGAGCCCAGAGCCGGCCAGCGGCCGAGCGGAGGTCTGAACCAGGTCCGGCCTGTCCTCACGCCCCATGTGTCCGCACCTTAGGGCCCAAGCGTGCATTCTCTAGGCCCGTGGGACCCTTGTGGGCTCCCGGGAAACACGGCGCGTACCACCAAGGGGCCTCGAAGGTCTCTCCGAGGGGCTGTTCTACCTCTGTGGTCGCCTCCTGCCCCTGCCCCAGGTGCCACCAGCCAGGAGGCTAGGTGGGTACTTCCACCTCAGGCACACCCACGGTTACCCCGGCTCCCAGCACAGTAATTAGAGGGCCCACCTGGCTGTCGGCTTTGGCGAGCCCCCCGCCATACCCCTCCCACACGCCGCTCCACCCCGGGCGTCCAACACGCTGGCCTCAGCCCAGGGCCCCGGCTCCCAGCCAGCTGGCCCAGGCCTCCCTCCCCCTTCTGGAGGTCAGCAGGGTCCCCGGATCTGCCTGAGGGGAACCGCCTGCGTCCTCGGCCCGAGACACTCAGTGAGAGAGAGGCCCAAAGGCCCGCAGAATTCTCCCCCGCCCCCCAACACCCGGCCCTGGGCCTGGCTGCCGGCTTTCCAGGAGAGCCCTGGCCTGGGGGGAGGGGCTCCCGAGCGGCCGGGAGTGAGGACGCTGAGAGCCACGACCGCGGGCAGCGTCAGCTGGGCACCGTCCCAGGACCATTCCGAGGCTGTGGCCAGGGGGATGACCGAGCAGGCCAGGCCAGGCCAGGCCAGTCAGCCCCTCTGCACAAGCCCGGCCCCTGACCGCTGGCTGGGAGGGGAGGGCCCGCCAGACCAGGGCCCTCTCCCTGCTCACCAACCTCGGCCGGGGCCGCAGGTCACACGTGGGCCGGGAGCCGCCCCACCCCGGGACTCGAGCTCCATGTACTGACCCCCTGGGCCCCAAAAGGTCAACGACATGTTTGTTTTCCCCTCTTGGTAGAAAAACCCCAAGACTTGACCCTCATGCTATTTGTCTGGTTCACGGGGCCCCAGGCAACCGCACTGTCGGGACTGCAGGGGCCCCCATCACCCTCGGGGACATCAGGCCCGGCCTGCAGCCCCGGGAGAGAGGGCCAGGCAGAAAGAAGCCAGGGGAGCAACCACGGGACCCCGGCCAGTCCCTGGCCTCACTGGGGCCCGGCCCCACCTCCATCTCCCCAGGAGGCCCTGACGCAGGAGTAAGGCCAGACTCGGCCCAGCGGCCGGGACTGTGGCTTGGGGCTGTGCACCCGCCCCCCCCCCCAGATGCTCACCGGTCTCACAGTGGATGCCTGTGTAGCCTTGCGAGCACTTGCAGATGTACTGTGTGAAGACATCCCCGCGCTGTGACTCATCAGTCACCTGGCATTCGGCATCGTGGTGGCAGGGGTTTGGGAAACAGGCACCTGGGGAGGAGGAGGCAGGTGAGATGCGCAGGTGATCAGGAAGGAGCTGGGGACAGAGGCAGACAGCAGCATGCACCTAGCCCAAAAGGACCCCCTGCCCAAACTCAGCCCACTGCCCGTCTCCCTCCACCATCCCCTCCCCTCCCCCCCACTCTGCCTGAAGGAGCCCAGACCAGCCTGGCACCAGGGTCGGTCGTGTGTAGGTGCATCTGCCCCCGCAAAGGAAGCACCCAGCTTTTCAAGTGGCTCGGGAGCTTCCGGGCCAATGCTGGCTGACAATGGACAGCTACTGGGGACACTGTCCCCTTCAGGCCAGGCCAGTAGTAGCTCCACCCAGCAGCCTGGGCCGCCACTGGAGCTAGAGGTGGGGTGGCGGGCGCAGCCCGGGGCGGGTACCTGTCTCAGTCTCGTTGCAGGTGGGGCCCGAGAAGCCCTCGGGGCAGAGGCAGTAGAAGGGGAAGTTGTGCTGGCCCACCAGGCAGGTCCCACCGTTCAGGCACTCGGGTTCACACAAGTCACCTGTGGGGGCAGCTCTGGCTCAGGACGATTTGTTCATGCAATAAACATTAGGCGGGGAGGGGCAACTACCAGGAACGTGCGAGCTGGGCCCCCCAGACAGAGAAATCAGGTGTCGTCCAGGCCCCAAGAAGCCTCGGGAAAGAGGCGGACAAGCCAATGGGAGCGACAGGCGCCAGGCGCTCCAACAGAAGCCTGCACGAGGGGCCCCTGGAAGTGTGGTTTGTGCCGAGGAAGCTGCGGTTTCGCGGAGGAGGGGACAGGCGCACTGGCCTACGAGGCAGAGTGGGAGCGTGCCACGCTGAGGAGTGAGGGAAGAACACTCTAGAGCCCTGGCTGGCGTAGCTCAGTGGATTGAGTGTGGGCTGGGAACCAAAGTGTCACAGGTTCGATTCCCAGTCAGGGCACATGCCTGGGTTGCAGGCCATGACCCCCAGCAACCGCACATTGATATCTCTCTCTCTCTCTCTCTCTCTTTCCCCCTCCCTTCCCTCCCTAAAAATAAATAAATAAAATCTTTAAAAAAAAAAAGAAGAAAAAAAAGAACACTCTGGAGAAGAGCAGCAGCAGCAGAGAGCGTGGCATGCTGGGAGAACAGTAAGACGTAGCTGGACAGGGCGGCCGGGGCCAGACGGCGGGGCCAGCGAGAATGACAGGGTCAGACTTTTCCACCTGCCCACCAGGCGCTCGCGACCTTCTCTCCTCCTCCCCACCACGGTCCGCCAGGAAAAAAGACGCCAGACATTCATTCCCGAGCCTGAGGCGGGGAAGGTGGGACCTGGCTCCACGTCGGAGAAGGGAGCTGTCACCTGTGCAGATGGGACCCGCTCGCCGGGGCTGGGGAGGCGTTTTGTGGCGACGAGAAGATCCCTCCGGCTGCTGGGGGGCAGTGGGACAGGACAGGACCGGGGAGGCGGGAGGCAGGACAGCTTCAGGAAGGCCACCCCAGGCCTCTGGGCGAGAGGGAGCCAGGAGGAGGAGAGAGGAGGGCAGGCGGACTGGAGAAAGGCTGGGCCAGGCCCTCGGAGGTGGAAGGAGGGCTGGTGGACATTGCAGCTTCCGGCCGGGGGCCTCCTGGGAGACCGGTGTGCGATGCTTCCCGGGGCCCTCGGCCCTGGTGACCTGGATGAGCCCGGCGCAGGAGGGTCCTCTGACCTCAGCGTCCCCGAGGGCTGCCCGAGACTCCACGCCCGCCTGGGGCCACACGTGAGAAACATCTTTTCTTCCCCGCAGTTTCGCCCTGCGGGGCTGGAGGGCCCCCCGGAAACCCCAAAGCCCCAGAGCTGGGTCTGGGCTCCGGGGAAGGGAGTACCGTTACTGAGCAATGGAGCCCTCAGAACGCCACCGCGGTGCGGGCCTCAGGAGCTTAGGCGGCTCCCTCCAGAAGAGCTATTAGTCACTGGCTTTAAATAGCAGATTAATCCCCTCGCCTGACCTGGCTGACGGTGGCTCAGGCCACGGAGTTTTGGGAATGTCCAGCGTCCCGGGCTCCTATCCCAGCAAGGTCCGAAGGCGGATCCTCCTCCTCCTCCCAAAAGCGCCCCACCCCAAACTGCTCCAGGGCAGAGCGGTCCAGCGGAGAAAAGGGAAAGGTGTCCCTTCCTGGCCGGCCTTAGGCTGACTCACCTGCGGGCAGCGGTGGTGGCCCGGGTGCTTCCCCCTCCCAGGAAAAGCCTGATCCCTCCCTTACTAAACCACACTTGGGATTTCAGGGTCCTACCCTCTGGGCAGATGTCACCAGAGACATTTTATCAAGGCTCGGGCTGCAGGGTCTGAGAGGAAGGGAAAGGGACAAGACCCAGCCGCCTCTCAGGGCTTCCGGGAGAGCCACCAGCTCCCCAGTGCGGGGGAGTCTGGAGTGCCCTTAGAGGCTTCCGCTCGGGGCGCGGGGGGTCAGGCAGTCTCAGGGCGCAGGGCCAGGCCTCCGCGGGGCTCCACCCCCTCCCTTGCTTCAGTCAATGCTGCTTCCATGAGAAAACGATGGAGGGGTGCCCGAGGAGTCCCTATCACCCTTCCACCCCCTTTTCCCAGCCCCGGAGGGGGCCTGTGTGGCCCCACGGTGAAGGGGATGGGGCATCCCCCGGACCCCGCCTGCTGCTGGAGGCCCGGCGCTGCTGGGAGGCCTCCTGGGCGGGGGAGGAGGCCCCAGGAAGATACTGCACAGCAGGCCAAGGCCGTGGAAGGAGTCGGGGGCCCGAAGCTGGCCGCAGCGGGAGGCAGCCCGCTTCCAAGCCCTTCCCCAGGCTCCGTAGACGCCTCCGTGGCCCCATCCAGAGCCTCCCATCCCACCCGCTCCCCAGCCCTCCCTCCTCTTGGCCACTGGACATGAGGGCGGGCGGAAACGGACCGGCGACCAGGGCTGGCAAGGGACTCGCAGGAGAAAGTTGGCTGAAGACCTATCAGTGCACGAGTCGTAGGAACTTACGGTGGGGAAGGCGCCCACGAGTCTGTCCCGGTCCAGTGGCCTCACTTTACAGGTGGGCAAAGAGGGGCCCTACACGGCGGATCCCTTCGTGATGGGTCAGCCACCTCCGTGGGGATGCCCGGCTGTCACCAGTGTCCCGAGCCACCGCCCAACGCTCTAGCCTCTCTCGCCGGCCGAACTTTCCACCTCCCCGGGGCAGAGACAGCGGGAGAGACCGCAGGAGAGACGGAGCACAGCCGCCCGCCCGCCACCCCACCGGGGCGCAGCCCGGGAAGTCGCCCCTCTGCCCTGCCGGCCCCGGCGGCGACTCTCCGCCCAAGTTTGTCAACAGCGGAGGTGGAGGCAGGGCGCCGCACCGAACTTCCCAGCGCAGAGGAGGGGCGAGAGCGCGGAGGGCGGCGCGATCACTCACCGGAGCCAGCGAAGAGGCCGGAGGCGCAGAGCAGCACGCCGCAGAGCGCCGCCAGCGGGCGGGGGCCCGGCATGCTGAGGGTCGGGCTGCCGAACGAGGTGCGGGTCTGGGATCGGGCCGTGCGGACCGCGGGGCTCTCACTCCTGCTCCTGGACAGGAATAAATCGGGCAGCGTTGCACCTCCCACGGGCCCACGGGCTCCGCCCAGGCTGCCTGCGGGAGGCGGACTCAGGGCGGGGCTGCACGCCAGAGTGAACCGGGGGGACCCAAGGGTCCCCGCCTCCCGCCGGGCCACGCCCCGCGTTGCCGCTGGGGCCGGGAACCAAGCCCCCAACTCTAAGCAGGCTAGACAGGGACGGGCTCAGATGGGGTTGTTTGGGTTTTAGTAGTTGTCGTTGTTTTTCTGAATTATTTTAGACTTAAATAGCTAAACCTTACTCATCATAATGAGATGTACGAGTACAACGAGCAAGGCGTACCCCCCACCCCCACCCGGCTTCGCTTATCAGACGGGCAAGCAGCGAGGTCTCGGTCGCCAGGGCCGGGCGGCGGGGAACAGGCCCCAGCACGCTGCGCGGGAGGGAGTGTGAATCAGCTCAGCTCCCCGCAGCCGCTTGGCCAGACCCGTCCAAGTGACAAGGGCTGAGACCGTGAGACCCGGCGAGTGGACTCGCAGGGATTCATCCCACGGAAACGCACGTGTGTGAAATGACACGCGTGCAGAGAGGGCACAGCATATCATGCCTGTGACATGGGGGTGAAAAGCGAAGGCATGTGTCAGAGCGGGGGTGGGGGGGGCCACCCAACGAGATCTGTGGGGAGAAGCCTCGGGCAGGACACCCAGGTCCGGGCTGAGCAGCTCAGCGGGTGGTGGCGACCGGCGGAAATGCACGGCCTCTGGCGTCAGCCGTCTCACCCACCCCCCACCCCCCGGCGCGGGCGAGCTCCTGACCCCCAGACGTGGGCGCAGTGCCCGGCACACAGGAAGCGCGTGCCCTGAAGTGTCTGTGGGATGAGCGACAGGACTGTCCCCGCTGGGCAGAACCGACCGGACCGAGGGTGGGGAGGTGCGTGCAGAGCAAGCAAGTGCACACAGGAGGAGGAGGGCGGCCCAGTGACCGCGACTACATACAGTGGGGGGGGGGGCCCATGGGGGGTGGCCAGAAAGGGCCCCCTGCACCTGGAGGGCTCTCAGCAAAGGACCCGGGTCAGGAGGACTCTGTAGAGGACCAGGGAGGAAGGGGGACCTCGAAGCTCAGCGCTGTCTCTCAGACGCCGGCTCATGATCACTGCCCAGCGCCTTCCAGCTCCATCCACGGAGAGGCTGCCTGGGCCAGCGCCTCTGCCGCCTCCTCCTCCGCCTCCGCCTCCCAGCACCCGTGGGCACAGGCATCCCCTGAGCTCGCAGGACCGCACAGCGGCCCCATGCCCACGCCCTCCCCTCCCCTCGCACGCCCGCCCTCCCTCCCGAAGCCACCGCGCCGAGCGGCACGCGGTGTGATCTGGGAGCAAACGTCCCTGCCCCGGGACCGAACAGCCGGCTTTTGTTTACGAGCCAAAGGCCAGGGGCCAAGGGGCCAGCGCTGGGGAATAGACACGCTTTTAAGTTTCAAAAGGCAGAAGTGTTTTCTCGCGGAAACCAAAAAGGTGGGTCAGGTTCTGAGGTTCCTTTATGTGGTTTGGGGCTTCAATTAACCACTGTCCTGCCTGGTTTCTCTGGCAGCTGCCCCCCGCCCCGACTAATTTTCCCTCCTCTGACGCCGGCAGCCAGACGCTCGGAGCCAGCCAGCGGTCTCCCGTCCACCGCGGAGCGGTCTCCTGACACACCTTCTTCCCGGTGCGCCCGCCAAGCCTGCAAGCTAGGTGCCCCGCACGGGGCAGCTTGCGGCCGGCGCCTGGATTCCGGCCCCGGCTTCGCACCTTACCTGCCTGACGGCCTCTGTCTGCCAAGCTGCTGGTCAGGAGCCTTCTCTTTCTTCATTCAGAGCCCATCTCCCTTCTCCCTTCCCCGAGAGGCTAACGACATGAAGCGGCTTCACCGCCCCACAACGGCTCCAGAAGCCTGCATCTGCTGTGGAAAAACAAAAAAACACGCCGACACCTGCGTCGGGTATTGGGTTTGCACAACGGAAAGGAAGTGAAAGGAACGCCCCAGGAAGGTCTGTTTTTGCAGGGCTCCACTCAAAGCCTTTCTAACCGGGCCAGCTGGACATCTGGACAACCCATCTCCAGCCCGAGCCCAGAGCAAGGCCGCTTCCAGGGGAACGTCAAGTCCTTGCTCGGAAACGGAACACGGGAAGGCCCGGGGCGAGAGCCCGAAGCTGCGCAGGGTCGGGGGGGGCAGCAGAATGCAGGCCAGGAGCCTGTGTCTGGCCGACCCCCCCCCCACCAGCACCAGTGGCCTCCCCAAATCCTCCCCCCTTCCCATCCCACAGCTGGAAGTGAGGCAGGTGAGGAAGAAGCCAGGGAAATTCCTCGGCAAGTCAAAAGGGGGAAACCGAGGCGGGCAGAGGCGCACACTGGACGCGAGATTCACAGCCAGAGGATAAAGCACAAGGTCTTGTGTTCCCTGACGGAAGGCACTTAGGAGCAAAGGGTTTACGCATTTCCAGGCCGTGCCAGGGCCAGCTGGCCTCGGTCCCCGTCCCTCGCTGGCGGCGTTCTTTAAAGGTGGAACTGGCCAGAGAGTGACCCTGACCCCCCCAGACGCTCATTTTGATGAGTCAGCATATTGAAGCCGATGACTGTTGTATGGAGACCCTCCCCTGAGACCGCCCCTGAAATTCCCGCCTTTGGAAATGAGGATGCGGGGAAGCCCGTCCCGGCGGTCCCAGGAGCCTGCCTGCGCCCCTCCTTTTCTCGGCCGTGTGTGTGTGTGTGTGTGTGTGTGTGCGCGCTCCCCTTCTCCTAAACTCCGAGGGTCCCCATGAGACTTGCACCCGGGGAGCAGACGGCCGTCCCAGGCTAAACCCCCAGGACCCGTCTCCAGGGCCGCCTGGCCTCTGGCTGCTCCGTGAGTCCACGCAGCCCCAGGTGGCTCACTCCTTTCCTGCGGCGCTTCCACAGGCCGGAAGGAGCCCCGCCTGGGCTCTCCCCTGCTGCTGCTGCTGCTCCTGCCCCAGGCCCTTCCTGTGTTTCACCGCCCCCAGCTGTAACAGCCATTCTCTCGAAATCACCTGGGCTCGGACTGTGAAATCTTTCCTGCGTGAAGTCAAGAGCCCACACACCAAAGGCTGGACCGAAGCAGTCCCACTCTGGCCCGGTCCCTTCCTGGTGACAGAAGAAACTCTCTTCGCGGGCCTGGGGGCCTTTCCCACGCAAAGGACCCCCGACCAGTTCGGGAGCTGGGAGTTGTCCCTCTCTTAGTCACTGGCCCCCTGTTCAAGCCGGCAGTTCCCATTTCCTTTTTTTTTAAAGATTTATTTGTTTTTAGAGAGAACGGGAGGGAAGAAGAGAGGGAGAGAAGCATCGATGTGTGGTTGCCTCTCACACACCTCCTACGGGAGACCTGGCCCGCAACCCAGGCATGTGCCCTGACTGGGAATCTAACTGGCAACCCTTTGGTCTGCAGGCCCGTCCTCAATCTACCGAGCTACACCAGCCAGGGCTTATTTCCCCACTTCTTTCAAGAAAAAAGTCACCCTCTCAATGAACTGAGTTGTCAGCTATTTTGCAAGGTTGCCAGTGAACAGGTTGGTTGGCCCAGCCTCCCCCAGATTCCAAAGGTACCCCCGAGTCTACAGGGAGCCCGGCCCAGCTGCGTGGGGCAGCCTCCTCAGCAGAGAGGGGACACTGGCCTACACCTCTTGCCTCCAATCCAGCAACCTCCCTACTGCAGTCATTCATTCATTCATTCATTCATTCAAAAATAGTCACCAAGCAAGCGCCAGGCTGCATGGTGTGAGGACCCACTCAAAACCCCAGAGTTGGTATAAAGAATATTTTAAGTGGAAGACATTTGAGATTCAACAGATACAAAAAGCACCTTTCCCTGTCTGAGTAAAAACAGAAACTTCTGGGTGGAGGGGGTTGGGTGGAGGCAGGCAAAGTGGGGAGACAGCAGGGGCATCTGCAACAGTGTCGACAACCAAGGAAAATAAAATAGGAACTTCTGGGAAATGAGGACAGCCGGCCGTCCACTCTCCCTTTGGGGCTGGCCGGCTCCCTGGAAAGAGACCAGGAGTCCACCCGCCATGAGCCCCTCCTCTGGAGGGGTTTCCTGGCCCCGGAGGGGACGGAAAGACCACTTGTATCTCTAGAGGCACAAACATGATCACATTCTCGTGTCCCCTTTTCCGCTCCCGAAGAAACATACTCGTTCTTCACAAAGACGCTTTTTACTCCCGTTCCCTTTCCCCTGCAGAGTTAGACATATAAGCCCCTAACCCTGACCCCTACTTTGAGTTACTCCTCCTTGAGTAATTCGGTGTGTCCATAAAGTCTTTTCTCTGGCTAATCTGCTTTTTGTACATTGAATTCGCGGGCCCTCACACAGATGCAGAAGCTAAGAGCGGAGAAAACAGGTTTTTCTGCCCCCAGCAGTGATTCGGACTCCTTCTTGCTTTGCCTCCGGTTCTTGGCAGGGCCTGGAGCCCCTAATCACCTCGCCTCTCACCCGGGGCCTGGGCCCGTGGGGGCACCTCAGCTCCGAGCCTTGCTCCTCCCACCCCACAGCCGGCCCTTCCTCCCCCAGTGCCCGCTGACCTCGGCAGCCGGCCTCCCGGGCACATGGGCTTCGGGCCAGGAGCCGCTCCTTCCCCAGCACATCCACAGGTCAAAGGTATGTGTCTTTTTGGAATTTAGATTCCAGTGCCTGTTTGTCTTTCTAGAATCTAGAACGCTGATGCACGCCCTGGGGGCTCCTGCCAGACCCTTTGGCGCACCGTGGGTCTCCCCAGCCAGGAGACGCGCAGAGAAGCCCCTTCCTTTCTCTGATAATCGAGCTCAGCATTGCGAATGAGACGCCCGCGCGTTTCCAAAGGGCAGACATTCACTCTCCAAAACAGTGTTGCCTGTATAACCCGCAGTAGGAACAGGGCGCTGTAACCAGCGCGGCTGCCTCTCGGATACTGAGGAAGCTCTTCACACCGCCCCCGCCCCGGCCCCCACGGCCTGCGGGGAATGGGAAAGGGCCCCCAGGATCCCAGCCCCAGGCAGGCCGCTCTCCTGCCACACACGCAGACAAGCGGCTGAAGCTTTGAGATGACCACTTGTAAAGGCGCCGTCGCATTCTCAGCCCTCCCCCCGCCCCTCCGCCACGCTGGGGGGGGGGCATTCTTTCCGGCGGTGATCTCCGTGTTTGGGAATGTGAAGTTGAGATGTGTGAACGTGTGAGACATCCGTTCAGTTGGAAACAAAACTCTTCCGGGAGCCAGCTGCCCCGGGCCGATAGAGAGGTGTGAAAATCCTCAGCTCTAAGGGGGCCCTCGGGCTGTGAAAACGGGGCCCTCCCTCGGGGGCAGGCCCAGGGAGAAAGCAGAACCTCCGTGTCGGCAGCTGCGGGCTCTGCCTGGGGCTCCCCCCATCGTCCAAGAACAAAGGGCAGGAGGGAACCGATAACGTAAGAAACGTCCGAACCTGTAAGGCTTTTATGAGCTTATTGGAGCCAAACTGCCAGGAAGCAAAACCTCGAGGGACTGAGGAAGTGCTCCAGAGAATGGCAGTTTTGCGTCTTATTTTATACATTTCAATCAAAGGAGGAAGCCTATGGGGGTTACGTGAAATCCACTGGAGAGAGATTAGGGACGGGAGAAAAGAGACCGGGTGGGAATGGATAAAAAGCAAACACAGAATAGACCCCTACTTCTTTTGCATTTGTGGGTAAAGGATAGTTAACAATTAACAAAGGACTGGATAAAAAGTTAAAAAAAAAACACAACAGAATAGACACCTACTGCCTTTGCATTTGTGGGGGAAAGCACAGTTAACAATTAACACGATCATGATGACAATGAGACAATGAAGGGTTTTGTGGTCGGGGCTCCGGGGACAGAGACTGTGCCCTGAGGGGTGGGGGAAACCACCCCACAGTCAAAGGCACCTCATCCTTAGATGCAGAAAGACAGGCTGAGTTAACGTACAGAGTGACCTCTGTCAGGGCAGATACTCGCCTAGGGGAGGGCGACCCTCCCTCCAAGGCTCGCTTTCAGTTAGAGAGTTTTAATTTCAGGCCATCCTGTGTGGTTGCTTTTGATCTCTGAGTTGGGAAGGCCGCCCTGCGGCCTCCCCAGCGCTTGTCGGGCTTAGTTCTGTGGCCCCTCTTTGGTCCACAGAACCGGGAGGTGCCGAGTGCCTACTGGCCACAAGGAAACATCGGGGTATGCAAAGGCCCTGGGGTTCTGAGGCCTCCGACCGGGGAATGACCCTGTGGCTCTCCCAAACGAGGACCCACATCATGTGTGGGGCCCAGTGCAAATGGAAAACTCGAGACCCTGCGCTCAAAACGCAGCATGAATGTCCTGATGGTGGCGGGGAGCTGAAAACCAGCGCGGGTCCTTCTAGGTGAGGGGCCTTCTCCCGGGACGGCACAGGCCTCGCACCCATGAAGCCGCCTGGGGCGACCTCGAGGTTCCTTCCCTTCCCTCCGATTGCCGTGCTTCTCCAAAGGCTGACGTCAAAGGACATCTTTGTGACCTGCACAGGGCCAGGTGCCTAGAAGGGGCTAAAACTTGTTTTGTTCCCACATCCTTTCTTTATCCGCAAGATCGTTACAAACGTTACCGAAAGCTTCCCATTCGCAAACTCTTGATTAACTGGAGTCCTGCCTCTGTTTCAAAGAGGACCCGTCTTCCAGCCGCTTCACTCAGTACCCTGTTTCAAGTCACAGAGACCTGGGGCTGCCGACTCCCAGAACCCGCATCCCTACCCCAGGCATCAGCCCATTCACTCCTCTCGCTTTCTTCCACGGATGGAATCCTAGCCACGTTTTTCCTTCCAGTTATAACTCTCGAGAAGGTATTACAGATCCTGCCCCCTATCTGGAAAAAAAAATCCCACTAGTCAGTCACGAGTTTCAGACGGGCACAACGTTACTTTCCCTGGGAGGACAGGCTCGGGCGGAGACCCACGCGG